ATGTGTATCGAGAGGCTGGATGAAGATCTGACACTATTCTTCTGAGCACGTTGTAACCCAATTGTGATTTTATAGCTACCTTTTTATGTTGGCTAATATTCGCACTCAAATCAATCTTGACGCATAAAGTTCTAACTGCCGTCCCAAGTGTAGTTCCCCTCTGCCCAGATGAAACAAACAAGGGCTTCCAGTGAAAGGATAAGCTACTTAGCACCCACTCCAACTCTTGTTGTCTTATTATTCCTATTATTGCTTTTTCGGAGCATCTGCTTGGAAGGAATTTTGCCTGCTGCGGGAGATCAGCATCTGTCCGCCGTATCCGACCATACTCTATTACAATTAAGCGTTGACACCCTTTTAATGAAAGCTCGGGCACGAAGTATACGATGGAAAATGCCCTCCGTGAGAAGTTAGAAACTCCCATCACCAGCATTGGCCAAACACGGCAAAATCTTTTGTATAACAAATTCTCATAAGTGGCATTTTTATTGTTAACTTCTTGATGATGCTATACTTTGGACTCCGTATTAACCGATGGGGCGCTGCTGAGGGTTTCTTCGGCACGTCATGAGGCTTACACTGTCACAGCCCATTTCCCGTAGTTATGTAGTTTTATGATGCATAATATTGGGATATACTTAAAGTGTAGTGCATAGCGGTTAAATAAACTTCATATGTCTCCACGGGTCAAACCATGGTTTTGCGACCGGGATCCGGGGCGTATTACCCTTTTGGGACATCGCGGCAGTCCATAGCGGCACTGGTTGTATGGACTCCCGTAGCACTTTGAACGGATCAACCGGGGAAAACAACACTCCATGACGACACGGGCTACCATCAAGGTGATGAAAATTGGCCGTTTGATCCTTAGGAACAGAATTTTCCGAAAGGTTAGGTTTCTGAATTGTTGTATATATTTTGGTTGTTCGCTAGATAAAATCAATCTTAAAAGCCAAGGTGCATAGCATATCATACCATTCATCGGCATGCCTCACAGCCCACAGGATACTAGTTCCAATGGAAGTGATGACCTCAGTACTATCGAGACCAGGCCCGATCGCCGTCTATCGGAAATTGGGTCCATGCGCTCAGGGACCATCAATCGCCGTCAAAGTAACCTGAACGAAGTCGAGCTAGAGCGAATCAACACTTATCGACTCCAACATCGCTCAACAGTCGGCTCTGGCGTAGGAACAACACCGCCCGACCAGTGGCTCCCCCTCGGAGCTGGGAAGCCTCATCCCCCAACGCTCCCAGACCCGGAACAATATATCGTCGAATTCAACGATGCGAACGATCCTCTGCACCCCCAAAACTGGTCCCTCAAACGCAAAATCGGTATATCAGTGACTCTAGCATATACAACCTTCGTTTCGTCTTTCGCCAGCGCCATCTACTCCTCTGCGGTCGGACAAATCAGTGCTCACTTTCACATCAGCACCGAAGTCGCCATCCTCGGTGTGACCCTGTATGTTCTGGGATTTGCTTCAGGTCCGACAATATGGGCGCCGGCAAGTGAGCTCATTGGGAGAAGATGGCCAATCTGCATTGGCATGTTCGGGTACTCCATTTTTGCCGTTGCAGCAGCGACCAGCAAGGACGTCCAGACCTTGATGTTGACGAGATTCTTCGCTGGTTTTTTCTCTGCTTCCCCGATCGCTATTGTGCCGGCCGTGTTTGCCGATATCTGGAATAACCAGACCCGGGGTGTGGCTATCGCTATGTTCGCCATGGCTGTATTTGTCGGACCTTTCGCGTCGCCGTTCACTGGTGGCTTCATCACAATGTCGTACCTGGGATGGAGGTGGACCATGTATATTGCGTCCATCATGGGATGGCTGGCCACCGGTCTTTGTCTTCTTTTCTTGAAAGAGACCTATGCACCTGCCGTCCTTGTGGAAAAGGCGGCCATCCTGCGGCGTCAAACTCACAATTGGGGAATCCGCGCCAGGCAAGAGGAGATCGAGCTTGATTGGGGCGAGCTGATCACGAATAATTTCAGTCGGCCATTCCGCATGCTTTTCACCGAGCCAATTGTTTTCCTGGTAAGTCATGCATGAAGATCTCCAACTGGTTCAAGCTAACCTTCCTTCAGATTTCTCTCTGGATGAGCTTTGTATACGGCCTGATGTACGCGCTTCTCAGTGCTTACCCCGTTGTGTTCCAAGGGATCCATGGAATGAACCTCGGTGTTGGAAGTCTTCCATTCATTGGATTGATTATTGGCGAGATTTTAGCTGGCGCCTATATCCTTTGGGATCAACGAGCATATTCCAAAAAGCTAGCCGCTAACAATAACATTCCGATTCCGGAATGGAGACTTCCTCCCGCCATCATTGGAGGTGTTTGCTTCTGTGTCGGACTCTTCTGGTATGGCTGGACGGGATGGACAAAGTCAATCCACTGGATGGCCCCCACTGCCAGTGGAGTCATTACTGGATTCGGCATCTATGTCATCTTCCTGCAATGCTTCAATTACTTGATTGACTCATATTTGACATTGTAAGAATCTTGATTCCTGTGTTAGTTTACCGTGGAGCCATATACTGACTTTGAGATCTAGTGCCGCATCTGTGTTTGCTGCCAATACCATTATCCGGTCAGCGGTAGGAGCTGCATTCCCCCTGTTCTCAAAGCAGATGTTTGTAAACTTGGGCGTGCAATGGGCAGGTACACTTCTTGGATGTCTTGCGCTCATCATGATCCCAATTCCCTTGCTGTTCATCAAATGGGGACCTGCGTTACGCAAGAAGTCGAAATTTGCTCCCATCTTCGAGCCTGCTCTTGCAGCAAATTCGAAGACAGGGGAGGAGGCTGTCTAGGCGCTGGTTTGAAGTGACTTTTGTGTTTTGCATTTCTATACGTATAATTTGCCTGCTATAGTCATGAAATCCATGTAGTCAAAATTATAATTTTTAATCCCCGCACTTTCTCTATATGGGTCATTCATTCAAAAATGGATGAAGTAGAAGGTCGGTTAGGAAGCTGCGATCTTGGAGGTTTTGTTGTAGCATTGACCGAAGAACATTTGCCAACATGTCCGAACTCTCTGCGCAAATGTCTGGCGGCAGTCTCATACTCAAATAAGCAGCGAACTGGTCCCTCCCATCCTCAATTTTATTGGGAGATTTCAACTTTCCGTTCAACTAATCGGATAAGCCCCTGAAAGCCATCAGAACAAACAGTAGTTCATTTGTCACCACAGTCAAACACGGTGCTATCATTGCTGTCCCTTATTCTGAATCTTTGTCCGCCTGGCGTTGTAGCCAGCTGTCTCAGCCAGTGGAAATGGAACTCCTTTAGTGGGACACGAAGGCCTCTGGCGGACATAAATGTCCATGATTCGGCTAATCGGGTTGAATCTCTCCCTCTTTCATGATTCAGTGATGCTGATAATGTCATATTCATAGACCATATGCCACAATTGGGGTGGTTGCTACTACTTTGGTTGCCGGGAATGGGTCTTTCATTCAGCAAATGGCTACGGTCAAAAACCACCGCATCTTGTCTAATGTCGCGACAATGGGCGTGGATCACGTTTCCTGCGGCGTTGATGGTAATAACGATGGGATTCCGTGGAGTCACGATCTTGCAAACAAGACGAACCGGCGTACCCTTGTTTAAATCCTCTTCTATTCTAATTTTATGCTCCGGTTTAGACAATGATATTCAAAATAACATCCGCCATGTTAAGGACCCTGGGGCGATGGATGACCTCAGTCGCACTGTGATGATCAAGTTCATCAAAAACGAGAATACATCTTGGCGGATGACGGTCGAGCAAACTACTAACGATCAACCAGGTTAAATATCATACACTAGGCCCATGCATTCCGTCGATAATACAAAAATATGATGGTGCTCTTGTTGTCGCCAGGAACTTGTGCTATCTACGATATAGATAGTTCTCCACTGTAGATCGTATAAGCTCACTTAGAAGGAAGGGGTTTAGTTCTCTTCCAACACGTGCCTTATACTGCCGCAAAGAGCGGTGAATACAACGCTACGCGTGAATACAACACAAGGTATCTGACGGTGATGTGCATTGTTTCGGTATACTCCGCACGTATACAAGAAATAGATACGAGATGACCGGATTGACTTTTTGATACCTCGGAGTTTTTCTTGATGTCTTCGCCTGTCGCATATCCACGTGGCATAGCGCCTCAATAACTTCAGACTAACCCCTTCTTTCTCCAATGAGCAGAGCATGCCCATGCCACCAATTGGTGTAAGCAGCCCCTTGATGGACGAACGCTTAATTCATGTCAGACCGAATAAATCCGATATCTGCGGGTGAGATTTGTTGATGGTCCACGATCGGATGTGGCCGCCCCAGATATGCTAGAGCCATGAGACCGGGGACATTTGGATGCAGGATTTCTCCATACTACTTATGTCATCGGCTTCCTCCGTTATCGAGAACCCTGCAGATTTCCAAACACACGACACACAAAATTGATAAGATAGAGATCTCACGAGGGCTGAGCGCACTGGTGTCTTGGCATTCCAGAATCTTGGCATTGCAGGGGTGTTCATCTGCAGAGCATTTTTGCCAGCATCGAGCTCTTGCTTTGAACATTCTAATGTTGTTTCGAACACTTTTTATGCGCAACTGATGTCCATCGGTCTTTTTTTCGTCGCCGGTTTGCCGAGTCTTGACCCATGGACAACCCTGAACAAAATCCTGTCGGCAAATATACAGCCAATGAGGGCATCTACACGGCATCTCACGGGTGAAACGAGACCCCACCACCGCTGCCAAGAGTCCAACGACTCGGAGGTAGCTCAAATTGGAGGCGATTTTTTTTTTTTTTTTGGGTTCTTATCAGCAAGATGTGGTTGGTCGAGAGACACCATTGAGATTTGCCCATTTCTTCCTTCAAACCTATATTCTACACCTACCTCTACTGGAACATCTTTAAATACTGCGTCTCCACGACGACAGCGTCTCCGGAATTCGCTGTATCCACCGCACACGACCGTGATACTCTCTCGCAATGGGTTTAAGTAACTGGGTCCACGACACGAACGTGCGGGTTGCCCGCAGTCCCGTGGGGAAATGGTTTCGTTTGGAGGGCTCCGGTCATGTAAGTGACATTACATTCTATGCGACGTGTGATCGCATCGTCAATACCAATATGAGACTAAACCATGTCTCAGCCTCTCGAGAGGAAGGGTAGCTACTTCTTCACTGAAATCCGCGCCGGTCTCGCCACCTTCTTCGCCATGGCATACATCATCTCCGTCAACAGCAACATCACCTCTGCGACCGGTGGAACCTGCGTGTGCCCCGAGGAAGATATGCAAGACTTCTGTGCAACCAATGTCGAGTACGCTATGTGCACGCAAGAAATCAAACGCGATATCGTCACCGCCACTGCCGCCATCGCCGCCCTCTCAACTTTCTGCATGGGTTTCTTTGCCAACCTGCCTATCGCGCTCGCACCTGGAATGGGACTGAACGCATACTTCGCCTACACCGTTGTTGGAGTCCGTGGTAACGGCATGGTCCCATACTCGACTGCTCTCACGGCTGTCTTCGTCGAAGGATGGGTATTCTTGGGGTTGACGTTGATCGGTATGCGGCAGTGGCTGGCGCGTGCGCTACCAAAGTCTATCAAACTCGCAACTGGTGTCGGAATCGGTCTGTACCTCGCATTGATTGGTTTGACATACAGTGCCGGCATTGGACTGGTTCAGGGTGCCTCTGACACTCCCATTGAGCTGGCCGGGTGTGTGTCTAGCGCCTTCGACGAAAAAACGGGCCTATGTACGAGCGCATCTAAGATGCGCAACCCTACTATGTGGATTGGTATCTTCTGTGGCGGTATTCTGACGGTTATGCTCATGATGTACCGCATCAAGGGTGCTATCATTATCGGCATTTTGTTGGTTTCTATCATCTCTTGGCCTCGCACTACCCCCGTCACCTACTTCCCCTACACCGAGCTCGGAACTAGCCAGTTCGATTTCTTCAAGCAGGTGGTCACTTTCCATCCTATCAAGCATACCTTGCTCGCTCAGGATTGGAACCTAGCTGGCAAGGGTGGCCAGTTTGGACTGGCTTTCATCACATTTTTGGTATGTTGCAAGCTTTTTATACAGCGAGAAGTCCAAGACTAACATTTCCACAGTATGTGGATATTCTGGACACCACAGGCACAATGTACTCTATGGCCCGATTTGCCGGCGCAATCAACGAGGAGACTCAGGATTTCGAAGGCAGCGCCATGGCCTACATGGTTGACGCGATTTCCATTTCTATCGGATCCCTTTTCGGCAGTCCCCCCCGTTACAGCATTCGTCGAGTCCGGCGCCGGCATTTCTGAAGGCGGTAAAACCGGCCTAACATCATGTGTCACCGGCATTGCATTTTTCATCGCTGTATTCTTCGCCCCGATTTTCGCTTCCATTCCACCTTGGGCCACCGGCTGCACCCTCGTGATTGTCGGTGCGATGATGGCCAAGGCTGCTGCTGATATCAACTGGCGGTACTACGGTGATTCGATTCCCGCATTCCTCACCATCGCCATTATGCCTTTCACATACAGTATTGCCTACGGTCTGATCGCCGGAATCACCAGCTACATCACCCTCAATGGCTTTGCTTGGTGTCTTGAGAAGATTTCCGGTGGTCGCATCGTCCCGCCTAACAAGGATGAGTCTGATCCTTGGTCTTGGAAGGTTCAGGGCGGTTTCCTCCCACCCTGGGTTAAACGTGCTGCTCATGGAAAGAAGGACTTCTGGAAAGCTGATGAGGAGTATGCGGAGCCACGTATTGCATCTGGTGAGGCTGTATCTTCCTCTTCCTCGTCAGTGGACCGGGTGCCTCTTGAGAAAGGTCATGAGCCTACCGCTGCGCCAATGAAGTCGCAGTGAAGTCGACGTAAATATTTGGATGAATGAAGAAGGGGGGTTACGATATAGTTGTAATTTTTATTTGCATGGCATTATAGCGGATGTGTTCATTTTGTATACTTTCTTTTATGTATTTATTGACTTACTATTCACACCTGTTGTCTTCTCAGAGGTGTTGTACATACCGCGGGATGAACATATTGTTTTAATACCACAAAGTCCTCCTTTATGTAGTTGAAGATTATCTATATATATTCGCGGTAATAATTCTGGAGACTTTACATAGAGGAGCTTAATGTGAGTAAAAGAGACAAAAAGTCGATCAATTACAGCCAAGTCCATGCATGCTATCTTAAGGCAATCCCCCGCAAGCATCTTAAGAGAACGAGGCAATAAAGGGAGATATCAAAGCTGACTATATGGACTCTTAAACGAAGTCAAATTTTTAGAACTAAATACGGTCACACGGCTGACTGCTAGTCTTAAACAACGATCACTATAAATATTATCTCTACATAAATACATATCACACTAAACGAGTGGCGGAATTAAATGAATTTCAACAAGACCTCAATCCTGGAGCATGGACCGACTTTTCAACCCAATGTCGCAGTAAGCCAGAGGTATGGATTGATAGTAAATCCAGAGTTGATCGTCATATCACTGCAGTATATCTTCTACACTCGTCATCAGCGAAATCCAGGTCACCCCAGGCGCCAGGCCGCCACGCTTGGAGATCGTAACTAGGATTCCGATATCGACATAAACTTCAGAAGGGCCGCGCTTCATTGTACCAACTAGTACCCGACTAAGTATGACATTTCCTTGCAATCGTGGTGGAAGCAATGGAAATCAAATTTCGGCCCCCGGGGGAGAGTTTCCGCTGATGCCGTATGATTTAGGTCCTGTCGATCACCCAGACCCTAGCCTCTAAATGGATCATGTAGTAGCGATAGTGTTGCCATTTATAGAATTCGGCAGAGAGGCGCCTTCTATGTATCCAGTGGAGATTATACCTAACCCTGACGACATTTAAAGCCCTTGGGTGTATCCTATAATGGAAAGGGTCTTCAATGATGCACTCCACCGTTCTATAATCAATTACTCGCCTACTTAACGGCTCTCCCTAAGGATAAGTAGTCGGAGGATATTGTTGGAACACATTTTGGTGATATTGCGGCTCATATAAGAAATAAGCGAGACTAACGCACTCTTCAAGTGGTATAGCTAAACCAGACTGTTCAGTCTAATAAAATAATATTGGTGTTTTTAATATCTATTATGCTTTTTAACCACGCTTCTATAATTATCTTTTTCATACTTCTAACCTACAGGTCGCTAACATTATCACCATGCCTCCTAAGAACGACTAAGAGTGTCCCTTGGAATCGAGGAATGGCCCCGGGATAAAGATCGGGATCTAGAATAGGTAAAGAGGTGACTATGGTAAGGGAAAAACTAAGAGTTAGGAGGTTATTTTCAGAGAGGCAGGATCTCAATAGAATGGGGCAGTTAGTTGGGGTAGTGTCGTTGGTTATACCGTTAGCATCCACCAACCTAGCTTAATAGGGCTTGTATCGGGTCAATCTAGAGACCAATATCCAAAACATACCCCTCACTTTTCAAACCAATCCTGAAAAACCTGCGAACGGCGGGTTTTTGTGTTATCTTGCTGAACCTATTTAGTTGACTTCCAAATTGATGAATTGGGTAACAAGTGGCGCGGGCTGATTTAAACGTTACACTTGCACTGCGTGGGATGCACTTGATGAGACCGTAATTGACCGTTGAAATCTATCTGTACCTGGAAGATTCCTCGTTTCGCGAGAAGCAGGCGGTTATTATAGTGGATACTAATTTAACTTGTGATTGGGGTATTTTGCATGCATTAAAATAAATTACGCACACATTGAATAGACTATGTGGATATATTCAACAGAAGTCGTGTGATATATTTGATAGGCCGGGCGTAAACCCCGCTAACCGCAAGAATTAACCTTATCCACATAGACTGTACCTATTATGGTAATGGATGCGTCTGTTTGTTTCATTTTCTTTCGTCTTGAAAATGGGACTAGGTCATTGGATTACGATGGAATCTAGGATCCCCGCAGTAGAGACTACCATGCCGAGGTCTCTCCCAGAAGATCCCAGAGAACCGGCTATAAATATGGAGGCACCAGCCTTCATATTCTATATCGATTGTTCTCAGTTATCCAAAACCTCAGGAAGCTTCAAATATCCATATTCAACATATACTAGGAACTAAATCGACAGTTTTTACAATGGCTGCCACACAAGGTCTCTGCGACCCCGCATTCAACCGGGTCCGTGATATTTTTGAACAAAGACTTGCCTCGGGAGAAGAAGTCGGTGCCTCAATCTGCGTGAACATCGACGGAAAGAATGTCTTCGATATCTGGGGCGGTCATGCAGACGCTGCGAAGACGCGCTCATGGGAAGAAGACACCCTGGTCGTCGTCTTCTCATGCAGTAAGGTAGTCGCTGCCCTGGCTGCGATGATCCTGATTGATCGTGGCCTGCTTGACGTCGAGGAGAAAGTGTCAACGTACTGGCCGGAGTTCGCAGCTAACGGCAAGGAAGACACAAAAGTGTGGCACATCCTCAGCCACTCCTCTGGTGTGCCCCATTGGGAGTCGCGGATCCCCATGGAGTCCATTTACGATACCAAAACATCCACTGAGATGCTCGCTGCGCAGGCTCCGTGGTACAAGGCCGGCGAGGCATCCGCCTACCAGATGGTTAACCATGGACATTTAGTCGGCGAGCTGGTGCGGCGCGTTAGCGGGAAGTCGTTGAAGCAGTTCATTGCAGATGAGATCGCGGGTCCACTGGGCGCGGACTTTGGTCTCGGTGTGGCCGAGAAGGACTGGCCGCGTACGGCCGATATCATTCCCGGTGCGCCCACAGTTTTTCCGCCGCTCAACCCGGAAAGTGTTGCGGGTAAAGCCCTGCCCAACGTCATTGTCAACGCTGAAGATGCCCAGACGCCCGAGTTCAGGGGTGCTGGGGTCGGTGCCACGAACGGCTTTTCAAATGCACGTGCGCTGGCTCGGATTGGTTCAATTGTGTCCTTGCAAGGGACGGTCGATGGGAAGCAGTATCTTGGGCTTCAGACTATCGATCAGATGCTCCAGGAACGGATTAGCGGTGTCGATCAGATGTTGCTCTTCCACATTAGATTCGGCCTTGGAGTTGGCCTACCGGTGCCGGAATCTGTCACCTTTATCCCCGAAGGAAAAATTTGCTTTTGGGGAGGTTGGGGTGGATCTATGGTGGTCATGGATCTAGATCGCCGCATGACTATTGCTTATACCATGAACAAAATGGGATCAGATATCGTGGGTAATGACAACGCCAAGGCTTACATCGAAGCTATTTATGAAATAATGGCAGACAACAAACCGTCGGTGACCATCTGATGTGACAATATATTCCTTTTGCTTCTTTGAACAAATTGCACGGATGATTTTGCTTGTGGAATGGAAGGAACCCCTTCTAGATACACAAGATCACTTTATAAATGCACAAATATTACATCAGCATTGATAACCCAAAAGATGAATTCCATCCTTGCTCAAGTAATATCCCATCAGGTGGACTTCTTGGCCTTCGAAACCTGCTGCTTGTTACCACCAGTCTCTGTAAACACCAGCTCATCTCTCTCCCAGATCAACTCCACCGCAGCACCTGCGGGACCAGCAAAAACTGTCAACAGAGCAATTTTGACTAGTAGACTAGGCCAAGAGACAGTGTTCAGCAAGTACTTGTGAGCAACGGTGTACAACGAGGTAGCCCAAATCAAAACGCCCGCAGAGCCAATCAGATAGTCCCATTGGAGGAAAACCTGGACACCGTCGCCGACATTATCAACAGTCACCCCAGACCAAGGAAGAGGTAGCGAGAAAACTTTGGCCGGGTGAAGGGAGTTTCGGAAGCGTTCTTCAAACAGAACCGGTACCATGGCAGTCGCCAGGGAGATGACCCATGACACAATGTGTGACAGAGACGCATTAGCAAATGCAAATGCGTAGACCCAGCGCAAGCTGGACATGGATGCCCGGTGGTTGTTTGAGAGGAGAGGAGACAGAGTAAAGAAGGCGACCGTTGTCATAATTGACACGTATGCTGGCCAGGGGTGCCAGATGGCAATGGCGAGCTGCTTTAAGTCCACAGAAATCACAGAGGGAGCGGGTAACGTCATCGCCACGGTCGGCACCATGTATCCGACAACATAGATCAACGGCAGAGTTGCCAGAACAGCTCGCGGGATGCGGATATTATCTGCATGAGGGCGGCGCGCAGTGATCGAGCTGCCTAGCTGAAGACCACATGTCAATGGGATCCCAAAGGCAAACGTGAATACTTGAGCAATAAGGCCAAATATAGTCGGGCTGAATGCATTAGTGAGTTTTATCTCACATCAAGATGCTAGTGAGTGGGTGTAACATACTAAGCGGCTATTGTCCCGGCATTGCCCTTTCTCCAAGATTCCAAGACAATCAGTGTCCATGTTGCGCCGAATGTACCACTAAATCCAACACCATGAAGGAGCAGACCAGGATTGTTGCCATCGAGTGCCGGGTAGAAAAATGTGGTCAAAAGAGCCAGCACATGGTCGACTGCATTGATTCCCGTGTAGACTGTGCGTAAAGGCGCATCAATAGTGGGAAGCTTGCCCGATTCAATGGATTTGCGGGCTAGTGCATCTAGGCCATTGGTGGAGGCAAAATAGAATATGACATAGAACACCAGGGTGCTCAAAGAAAAGAGTACGTATCTCATTATGAGAGTTGTAATAGCTAGCACGGAATTAATCTAAATCTGGGGAAACAGGGTCAGGCGGACTTATAAACATGGGGTCAATGATCTTCGCCAAGTCCAACGGGATGTGTGAGACCGAGGCCTGTGTACTCCGTAGCGAGCCGAAGGTTGTGCAGCCGCTCCCCACACGATCTTTCATCCTTTTATTCACATGTGGATGACGCGCGAATGGGGCACGCGCGAATGGGCAACGCGCGGATGGGGCACGATTCTAGGTAGGTGATGTCCTGTGAGGTTGTCGCCTCAACATCTTGCATCCCCGAATTGGTTTAGCGTTCCCCACTTCATCTTCCCCCCCGGTCGCCCGAGGTCTCAGGCATCAATTACAACTTATCTTGTCTCTATTGATCGACATCCACTTCATTCGCTATGGCTGAATCATTGCCGCTTGAAACTCTTCGCCAGATATTCTCTGACCTGCAAGATAATCTTGCACCATATGCTTCTGTCTGCCGGAAATGGCAGGTTGCCGCTGAGCAACTCACCTTCGCCGATTTACATATCAATTCGGCAGACCTTGAGGACTTCAGTCAGATTGTTCTTTCCTCCCATTCCGTCAGTCGATGTTTCCATGTGAGGCGTCTCTATTTTAAAGTTATTATCCCAGAATATACTGTCGCCGCCCGGGGTCACTATGAAAACCGAAATGATCGCGATGGCAACAGCAAGGTCTTCACGCAGGCCATAACATCTCTCTTTGAAATTATGAGCTCATGGCCTGATGCCGATCGCCACCAGATGTCACTGCAGATTTACGCCAGGTCTCCTAGTGATTGGGAGGCGGAGAAGGACTGGACTATACGACGTATCCGGGCACAACGATGCTATGCTTTCCCAAATCAGGAGCTGCTACACCGGCGGTATCAACGTTCCTATCTGCAGCTGTCGGAGGTAACTCTACCCAACGTCAAATGTATTACTTCATTGAGGGTATTGGGATATGGCAGATACCGCAATATTGCACCAGGATCTGTATCTGAGATGGTAGCACGTCTTCCACGACTGGATACCATCAATGCTGAGCTCCGCGACAGAGAGAGAAAAGATGCTGCAGCGTCTGATGATGTTGGTGGTAAGTTGCACCGACCTTCCGTGTGCAATTATTTCAAATTATCCACAGGTTCTAACAGCGTGAATAGATTTCCCTAGTGCTAGTTGGCCTTCGTCCCTGCGGCATTTACGACTAGAGTGTGAGGCAAGCCAACACTATAGCGCGAAGTTCGCCCCTCTAGCAAACCCAGCCCCGAAATCTATGTGTCTTGCTTTGCACCGATTGACTCAGCAGTTAAAAACTGTTGAATTGTCACAAATCATGATCGACCCTGAATTCTTCTGGCCGATCGATGCCAACGGCACCACTCCATCCTGGCCAAATCTTATCAAAATTGACATAAACTACAGATATGCAGATAACTTGCTCTATGGTCCCCTTCGGACCTTGAAACAAGATACCTCTAGAGTTTCACGGGATGACTCTGTGGAACCACGCGATGACCAAGAACAAATTTCGTCCGGTAGACTGCTGAGCAAACAACTGGATGAATTGTATCTCGCTGCTGGACGCGCTGCACAATACATGCCTCGGCTAAATTCCATGGATCTTGATATTATCATATCCAACTTATCGGCAAGCCAGCATTATTTCAGATACGATGCAACTTTGGGCACAGCAACATGGACGAGGTCTTCGGATTACTGCACCACAAATGAAGTTCAAGAAGCATGGGACGTTGCGGCAAGGGGTCATGGACATGCTCAGATATCTACCGAGTTTCGTTCTACTGGGGATTCTGCCAGTGAGTCAAGTGTGTCCTCGTAAATATGGAAATTAGAAAACAAATACAGAGGAAAGCAAGAGTATTGAATGCAAAAGTTCACTAGCAATCATTCAGCACAAGTAAAGATAGAAGGATATCTAGTGTAAACGGCCAACTTGCACCATGAAACATACACAGACTTCTGATTGAAAGCTATGACAGGTAAGAATTAAGCAGAAAAACAGCCTGTCAACTTCCTCGAAGGCCTAGAATCGAACAACCCAACCACAAAGCGTGTGATTACAGCTAGGCGCCGAGTACTACGGTATACATCGTGGTGCTACGAGTTGCCTACAGGTGGGATCAGATCCGCGCATCCTGGTTGAGCCTAACTTCTACTACGACCAGGAGGACTATTTGCAGGGCTTGGCGAAGAAGCATCAAATCGGCTGGAGCACAATCCGACCGTCGCACATTGCCGGGGCAGTCCCAGATGCTGCCAAGAACTTGTGCTGCCTCTTGGCCATTTATGCCACAGTTCGAAAATATCTCAACCAATCTCTGGAATACCTAAGTGACATCGAGGCGTGGGAGGCAAACATGCCCATCTCAAGCGCCCGGGCGAATGGATACCTCGCGGAGTGGATCATACTGACCGAGCGGGTCGAAAACGAGAGTTTCAACGTGTCCAATGACCGCTTCTTCACACGGGGCAAGTTCTGGGCGGAGCTGGCTGAGCGTTTCCGGATGCCTTGGAAGGGTCCTGATGCGACAACGCCTCCTATGAGACCATGACCATTCCTCACGATACACCCCGTGGTTTATGGTCCGCCCGGTATTCTTCGGTTCCGCTTTATAATTGCGAGCTGGGCGAAGAGGTAGTAGGCTCAGTTTAGAAGGCGTGGGCGGAGATTGCGGAGAAGGGTTGTGCAAGCAGGAGTTTCGGTATATTGATCGCGTCTTTGGCTTCACTGACTTGTCCATCGCTATGAAGTTTCCTATTTCTCTGAGGTAAGTGGAAGACCTACTTTAAATGTCAATACAACATAGGCTAACTAGAAGTCAACTCATAGCACGCCTAAAGCCAAGAAGATGGGGTATGGGTTTGTTGATTTGATCTTGAGTGTCGTGGGGGAATGTGTGGGTCTGCGGATCATTCCGCCGCTGCCTTGATCTTGATTGGTCTGTGTGAAGTATGGAATTCGTGTGTGGCTCTCGAAATGCTCGGCTACCTACATTATGTAGGAATATATAACATCTTCTTAAGATACTTCAACTTTAGCAGGTTTAGGACCTTGGTGAGGAGTTGTCCGGGCAAAAATATTGGAAGCTAGAGGATTAGCTCTTTAGATGACCGAGAAGTGAACAGAGGACTAGTCCTTTGGCACGACACGGTAATTGAGGGATTCTTGGTTATCCACTGTGATATTGACACCTGGTGGATAAATATGTACAACTTGTCGCGGGACTGAAACACCGTCATGGTAGATGGGTGTATTATATATGGCTTGTCGAGTGATTAGATCGACAAAGGGCAGCCGGTGGACTCTTGGGGAAAGGGATCGTCCACACAGGTAGGACTACTCGAGAGAAGCTTTTCATAGGCTGTAGCTCGAATGAAAAATGGTAGGCAGCCAATACGATATTTCTTAGGAACCACCACACGAGATATCAAAAACAGCTGTTACTTTGGGAATGCATTTGAACCAAATATTCAAGATGGCGGTGACAGGTCAGTCAATTTGAGATTATATTTTCTTGCGTCCATTTCCCACCCCACTGCAACTACCCGCAGCAGAGGTAATAAAGTAATTTCTCATCGTACCTACCATTGTGGTGTTTTCGGCCAGCCTTCCTAGTGATTTGAGCAAGGCAATATTGAAGGTCTTCTTCAAGTAAACCCCTTCACCTGCCCGCACTCTAGCAGAACTGAAACACCTTGATTTAGTATTGTACGGTGAAGAGACATGCACTTCTAAGAATAGGGCCTGAAATTGACGAATGTTCCAAATCAATAGCTCCTGTTGTTCTCTGCTATTTAGACATGGCGCCTGGTTAGGTTTGTTTGTAACAAGCAGAGTAAAATCGGAAGTGTTTCAGATATGACAGCTACTGCGTTTCATGTACCTACAGTAGCGTGTGGAACACAATAATATGTGGAAACCACGCTGCTTCAGACACCTCGTCCTGCTATGAAGCGGCACGGCGTTACTACTGCTTCCGTGGGCTTTCCCACAACGCATCTTTTGGCAAACTGCTACGGGATAAAACTTCGTTCGCTTTTGGGGAGCTAGGTTAAACAGTTAGTCAACCACTAGGGTCTCTAAGCTTCAAAAATGCAAGGTTCAATGGCAGAGGCGACATAAAGTAGCTGCTCGCCTGCCTATGCTCATGTATATCGTATGTGATAACGTGTCCACTTCTTGGTAGGAAAACTGTGTCTCGGCCAAAGTTTAAAACTTAGGCGATGATCTCAAACAAGGAACAGGCCAAAATAGGAATGGCAATGGTGACTTCTATAGATGTGTCGGATAGGAGTGAGACCACTCGGTCGAACAAATGGGTCGCGTTGACGCTAATCCACCTTAGGCATTTTTACGGGGAATATCACGTGATGCTGCTAACGTTTCGCATTATACGTGAGGGGTCACCTGATGCCTAACGGCCATTGACCGCCCAACGAGCCAAACAGACAAACAAATTTCCCCACCGTAGCTCTTCATCTCACCTCACAGCTTGGACAATCAAATTTCTTCTTCTCAATTCTCAATCGAATGCTGGCAACTTGCGTTGAATCAACTTGGCTTATGGGACTGGCACATGCCGTCCCGGTACTCCGACAAGATGCTGAGAGATTCTGATATAGATTCCTTGAACGAGCATCTAGTGTCCTTATCACGAGAGCAACAGAAGCAACATGACAATCTGCAGAACTTGCTCAGCCAGTTTAAGAGTCTGCTAGATGACTACAGCTCGCTCAAGAGTGACTACGAGGAAGTTAAAGAAGGCCGAGAGAAATACAAAAGACAGGCCAGAGGCCAGGTAAGAGTCGACAAACTTACAGAAAGCCCGAGAGCGAAAAAAACGACTGACCTTCAACCAGGACCGTAACCCCTTTGTTCTTGTACTTGTAGATGGAGACGGATATTTGGTGAGGCTGTCTTACTTCCTTCGGTATCCACTCAGTTGACTAACGCAGCTGTTCAGTTCAAAGAGCATTTCCTCAAGCATGGAAGCGAGGGTGGCATCAATGCAGCCCGCGAGCTGAGCGACTCTGTTAAAGAGCTTATGCATTCGACAATGGGAACGCAGGCTGAACAGTGTCGGATCATGGTTCGTGTGTATGCAAATGTTCTCGGTTTGTCGAAGGCGTTAGCTCGAGCTGGACTTATGGGCCATGAGGCTCGATCCATGTCGCCATTTACTTCGTCATTTACCCGTGCTCAGGAACTTTTTGATTATGTCGATGCTGCAGAGAAGAAGGAAGGCAGTGATTTCAAGATCAGAGGTAATGAAAAATTTAGCATGAAAAGTCTTGTTACTATACTGATATTTGCTGCGAAATCAAGAAATGTTCCGTCTCTTTGTGGATCTCAACCAGTGCCGCCATATCTATTTTGCCGGCTGCCACGACACTGGATACGGCTCCCTTCTGACGCCCTATAGAGGCAGAAGTGACCGTATCACCCTCATCAAAGCTGCCGGTTTCCATCGTGAATTCGAGGCCTTGGATCTCCCTATCAGAGAGTTGCCTTCCGTATTCATGTCTACCCCTCTACTTAACAGCAAGCCACCCACAGGCCCGGCAGCGTCTGCTACTCTGGCCAAGTTCAATGGTGGAAACGGTACACACCACGTTTCTAACGGCTCAAATGGTACCAATTGTGCGAGTACCACTAAACCAATCTGCAGGCATTTCCAGAAGGTATTGATTGCAAACCTGGCGATGATATCGCGAATTAGTCATTAACTCACATCGACCTAGGGTATCTGCAAATTTGGCAACAGCTGCAATAAACAACATGTTATGCCGAACCAGTCATTGAATCACCAAGCATCGCCTAAACACTCAAGTGCAAGTGATTCACCTAAACAGTTCTGGTCTTCCCCTACAATTGTCGGTCGCTCCGAGGATTTCCTCAGATCCAAGCTTCCTTTGCCAAGCATCAAGACGGAAGAATTTATTCCAGTCAATAAAGATGGGGACCGTATCGACCCATACTATCCTCACCCATCGCCTGAAGCGTTCGATGAATACCACGCTCGAGCCAAGGAACACAAAGTCTGCAATAGCTATCATCTGTCAGGAGAATGCGGTGACATGAGCTGCACTTACGACCACAGCGATGTTTCTAATGTGATCATTGAGGTTTTGCGATACATGCTCCTCCAACACCCCTGCACTCGAGCCGGGGCTTGTCGATCAATCAAATGCTATATGGGCCACCTATGCCAGAAGCCTGGATGCAAGGCCGTGAAGAGCTGGCAGTGTCGATTCAACCAAACTGCTCACACCCTGGATCTTGAAACCGCTCGGTGGGACGTGCCAAGTGACCAGAGCGAAATTGATCAATGGTCTGTCAGCGGCAGTTCTATCGGAGATCGATCCATCGGGTTTGGTTTCTAATCAATCACAATCTCCGCCAAGAAATTTGCAATCCATACCTGCGGACAATCTCTCTTACCTGGGATGTCTTTGTATGTGTGAAAAGTCTGCAACTGCAAGGCCAGTTGCTAGACAAAACAATGGGTCGATGGCTAGCACTAAACAGACAGATTTAAGGAAGACATTTCAATGGGCTAGAAAGCAAGTTCAAGGCATCATTTCAATGTTTACAGATGAAGTTGCAGTACCTTAGTAATTACGACTATTTGCTGGTCTATTTTCATAACCGGTGATTCATCTGGTAGATAGGTTAAAGAGCACCAAGCTCTCATTCTCACTGTCCTTACTATTAATCTACTTAATTTGATGCTCCTCGCATACTTCCTATCTATGACCAACCCAATAGACCGACATGAAGGTCAATCATTTCGAGGTTTGTGATGTGCGTTGCCCGCCCACGAGACAGCGTAGGGGGGGGGGGTCCCACAACATGGATGCCTTGCATGAGAAATCAAAATTTTTGAGGTCCATGCAGGCCTACACCCAAATCAAACGGGGCATTCTCGTGTGTGTTATTTGACTTGATAAGTTCTAGGGAATGTATTGGGGTGTTTAATCACATCCCGTTTTATGGTATAGTTATTTACTAGATAGTCATTAGATACAATATCTAATATGTGTGGGTAGAGTAACAAGCCGTGCCTGTATACAAGCTATGCTGGGTGGCACTGATGATCTATAAATACGTATTTCCACCCAGTCAAGCTTAACACACTCCTACACAACTTAAAATATCTTTTTACCTAGAAAGCCATTCCTTCAATTACTATTTAGCATGGCCAAGGATATGGAACCAAGAGTCCACTCACCCTTTCTTCGGGCCCAAGACTTGTTCTTAGCAGTATGTAGTAGCTTGTGCTGAAAGAAAGCGGCCATCATCGACCCCGTCCTGGATTCTAATCCCGGAAACTTCCTAATCACCTCCGAGTCTACTGATGAACACATCGAATATGTTCTCAAGAACGGATACACAGTAACCATGCTGCTAGAGACGCATGCCCACGGAGACACCTCTCAGCCGCCTACTATATCCAACAAACTGTCTGGTCCCGCAGGTAACCTCACGCACAGATCTGCATCGGCGAGAACTTCAGAGTCGTCGAAAGCCACTTTGCAAATATCAAATCCCGAGACAAGAAATTGAGAATGCCATCGGCCATGTCTTCTAACCCAACGAAGTATTCAACATTGGCGATGTGACCAGCATCGCCCTTCACCTGCTTGCACACACACCGGACCATGGAGGCTACAGATAGGGAACAATATCTTTACGGGAGACAGTATGTTCAATCCAGATGTTGGCAGTGGCCGAGGTGACTTCCCACATGGCGATGCTCCGGAACATTTCCACTCGATGAAACGCCTCCTTGCTCTCCCGCCAGAAACGAGATTATACACGCATCATGATCATCCTCCTTCGAGTGAGTACACATCGTGAGACCCATTGGCGTATGTTAGGGTCGGCGAGCAAGAGAAGAAAAATAAGCACATCAAGAGTGACTCGTCAGAGGACGATTTTGTGAAGTGGAGGTCTCAGCGAGAAAAGATGTCTGAGCCTAAGCTTGTGCACCAGGCTATGTAGGTCAACGTGCGTGGAGGGAGGATGCCAAGCAAGTTACATAATGCAAAGGCATATCTACTTTATCTCATCAATGTCCCAAAGGTTTTAGTGACTGGAAAGCAAAGATAGGCAGTCCTGACAGGATCAAGATTTGATATTTTGGATTTGCTCGTGGCTAAATATGTAAAAGGATGAATGAAACTATAAAACAATGAATTACGGCGTGATATATATTTTGAAACTAAGTTGTCGACTCTGACATTTTATTTGTTTTAAACTCTCCACATGAATAACCATTTCTACTTCTCATCCAGGTATTTCCCTAGTATGATCTCAATCCTCATTGGGCACTTTTACCTTTTACTTTTTACCTTGAATCCTGATGTATGCTTCCTGGACTTCTTCCCGTGTCGCCATGAGTCCAAGCCACTTTTTGATCATAGGATAGTTGTCAAGTGAGAGGCCAGCAAAAGAGTACATACGCACCCAAGGCTCGAAATGGTAATCAACAGCAGTGACGCGACTGGGCAAAATGCTCTCGCCGCGGGTCTTCTTCAACTGTCCCTCGAGGACATCATAGCAGCGGTAGGTCTGCGCCGTGTATCGCTGGAGCGCATCCTCATTCTTCTGGGAGTGAAAGTTTCTGAAGGAATATAGTTAGTATCATCCTGGAATTTCTTCCGAATTCACATCGAACCTGAACCAATTTGCCTGTCCGGTCATGGGACCAAGCGTCGACAACAAGAAATACTCCCACTTTTCGAAATCCACCAAATCTTGCGCCGAGTCGCCCGACGGCCCAATAGAATTACCCATGTCATACACACGACGGACGTAGTTCATGCATGCTCCGGATTCCCACGAGACAACGCCGGTGTTTGGATCTTCGATGGCAGGAACGCGTCCGTTCTCATTGATTTTGAGGTACTCTGCGCCCTTAACACCCTTTTTGGGATCGTCTCCGAATTCCCACTGCTTCGCAGTGTACGGGATGTGGAGCGCTTCGAGCGCCATGGCGATCTTGACTGGGTTCGGGCCCGTCGCGTGGGCATGGAGGATTAGCGGCTTGATATGTGCGGCCATTATCTGATCGGTGGCGCGGTTTGACATTTGGTGTTGCTGGAAGGTGTCGAAGAGAACTTCATCTCCAGTGGGTTGAAATAAGGGAAGTATAGATGGCGACATGATATCACCATGATGTAATTTGCCTGGTGAAGGGATCGAATTTATTTAGCCTGATTTTCGGTTAACGTCAGGGATATAGAGGGGGAAGGTCCCGTATTTGAAGTTGTCTAGTTTATCACTTCTGAAAATATTAGTAGGTTGTAGTTTTGCCGGTGCGCCGGGTAATTGAGGAGATCTTCCTTCAATGGGATCAAAGTTGGCAGCCGGCTTGCTGCTCGGGTATGCGGAGTCAGCTTTGTTGATGCGGGGGAAATAGATGCAAATTTCGAATTACAAAACCAGATAAAATGCTACCTTGCGGGACTTTTGTTTGTGTTATTGTCACGCTTGATTACCTTACGAAGTGCTCGTCGGCAACACCCAGCCCATAGTTTATACAGTGATTTCAGTAATCACCACTGAAAGATGCTGTGCAAGATTTCACAGTTATTTACCCTGTTTTCCGCAGTTGCCAATTTGGTTTTAGCCTTCAGCAATAACCACACGGAACCCAAAAGCAATGGGCTACAGGATCTAGTGAGCCTAAAGCCTACCACCACCCTGGGAGTAGCATTGTACTAACGCACCACGGGTAGGTGACATGGGACCAGCATTCCATTATAGTACGCGGAGAGAGGCTCATGATATTTTCTGGAGAATTCCATCCATTCCGCCTGCCAGTGCCAGGTCTTTGGCTCGACGTGTTCCAAAAGATAAAGAGCATGGGCTTCACCGGCGTCTCATTCTACGTGGACTGGAGCCTCCTTGAAGGAAACCCGGGGCATGTCATCACCGATGGTATATGGAGTTTGGATGAATTCTTCAACGCGGCAAGCCAAACTGGATTATATCTCATCGCTCGGCCGGGTCCGTACATCAATGCAGAAACAACTGCTGGTGGGATACCTGGGTGGGTTCTACGAAAACAAGCGATTGTCCGGTCTGACGACCCCGAATACTTGAATGCGACTGCAAATTATGTGTCCGCATTGGGTCGAATGATTGAAAGAGCGCAGATCACACATGGTGGCCCAGTGATCATGGTTCAGCCAGAGAACGAATACTCCACGTGGCCGGGAGTGACTGATTTCCCCAATGAAATGAATCGGAATTATATGGCACATGTTGAAGAACAGCTACTTAGTGAAGGTATTACGGTTCCTTCAATCGTGAATGATAACTTGGTTATGGGGTACTTCGCACCGGGCTCAGGGCAAGGCCAAGTCGATATTTACGCTATCGATGCATACCCCATGCGCTATGATTGTGAGTTTGGCTCCAAAGTCTCCCAGTGCTATACATGATGCGAGGCTAACGCGCTTTACCACTTAGGTGCGAATCCTACTGTTTGGCCTACATACAGATTTCCATATGATTGGCAAGTCACGCACCAACAGCAGAGTCCAACGACACCCTTTGCTATTGCCGAGTTTCAAGGGGGTTCTGGCGAGGGGTGGTAAGCCAATTCCTTTACTCTAATCAATTGAAAGGACCTAAAATTATTCCAGGGGAGGCGTGGCTCAGGAGATGTGCGGCCAGTTAGTGAACGAAGAGGCCGCCAGAGTTGTGTACAAGAATAACTACAGTTTTGGCGTAAAGATCTTCAACATTTACATGGTAAGTGTATACAACCTTTCGGTTCCATATTTAAATGCTTATTATCGATTGTTATCAGACTTTTGGCGGCACCAACTGGGGTAACCTGGGTTACATGGGCGGGCACACATCATACGACTATGGCTCAGCTATCACGGAAGAAAGGGCCATCTGGCGTGAGAAATATAGTGAGCAGAAACTGGAAGCTAACTTCCTCAAAGTCTCCCCTGCTTATCTGACCGCAACTCCTCATCTTGGAGTAAATGGTACTTACGGCGCACCGTCCTCGATAGCTGTTACTCCTCTTCTTGGGAACGGGACGCGCACAAATTTCTATGTTGTCAGACATGCCGACTTCACTTCAGCCGACAACACCCAGTACACCCTGGCATTGTTGACAAGCATTGGAGACATCGAAATTCCTCAGCTGGGAGGTCACCTCACGCTGAGCGGACGAGATTCCAAATTCCACGTCACAGATTACGATGTCGGCGGCATCAACCTGATCTACTCCTCCGCGGAGATATTCACATGGGCGCGTGGGCCAGGGCCAACACGTGTATTAATTCTCTACGGAGGGGCCGGAGAAACACATGAGTTTGCTCTGCCTAGTCATCTTGGAAAACCAATTGTCCTCGAAGGAGAGGGCATCAAAATACAACAACACGGATCCACTTGGGTTGTGCAGTGGCATGTTACACCAGCCCGACGAATCGTCCAGGTAGTAGATCTCGAGGTATACCTGCTCTGGCGGAACGAGGCATACAACTACTGGGTGATGGAGTTGCCGATATCAAGTCCGATTGGAAACTACTCATCGCCATCGAAAAGCCTAGTAGTTGTCAAAGCCGGATATCTTATCCGCACCGCTGATCTGATAAACAAGCAACTTCGACTGACAGGTGATGTCAATGCCACAACAGAGATCGAGGTCATATCTACTCCACTGACAACCCTGAAAGGCATTACCTTCAATGGAGAAGTCTTACACATTTCGAAAACACCCAATGGGAACCTCTGGGGAACTGTCAGATACAACCCTCCCAAGTTGGACATTCCCGATTTGTCCAACCTGAAATGGAAGTTTATTGATTCTCTCCCTGAGATTCAGGCCTCGTACGACGACTCAGCTTGGACACCCTGCATACGAAGATCGACACACAATCCACGGCACCTGGATACCCCAATTAGTTTGTACTCCATGGACTACGGATATCACACAGGGTCATTGTTATACCGTGGTCATTTCAATGCCAATGGCCAAGAATCCAATGTTTGGTTGAATGTATCTGGCGGCGTAGGATTTGGACATTCCGTGTGGTTGAATAACACATTCCTTGGCTCATGGGTGGGGTCGAGTGCCAATACCTCGGTAGTCCACAACATGTCGCTGCCCGTCCTGTCGCAGGGAAGCCTGTATTTGATCTTGGTTCTGATTGATCACATGGGCCAGGATGAGGAGGCTCCTGGTACTGATGCGATCAAGTTCCCAAGAGGAATTTTGAACTATGGCATTTCCGGTCACGCGCAATCCGACGTTGTATGGAAGTTGACGGGTAACCTTGGAGGAGAGCAGTATCAGGATCTCGCCCGCGGCCCTCTCAATGAGGGAGGTATGTATGCCGAGCGACAAGGATACCATTACCCTAATCCACCCAGCTCGACATGGGACTTGTCAAACCCAGTCGTAGATGGTTTATCGAACGCAGGCGTCGGATTCTTCGCTACATCCTTCCGCCTGGGCATCCCCAGTGGATGGGACGTCCCAATGAGTGTGGTGTTTAACAACACAATCCAGAATAATACCAAGGATAATATTCGAGGCAACAATTATAGGTGTCAGCTATTTATCAACGGATATCAATTTGGAAAATACAGTATGTGTTCCGATGTTTGGTTCGGGGACATGGTTCCACGGCTCCAACCCGGAATCCACCAACTCTAATCTTTTTCAATTTAGTCAACAATCTCGGCCCCCAAACAGCTTTCCCAATTCCAGAGGGTATTCTTAACCACGTGGGTGATAATCATATAGCCTTGACGGTGTGGGCACAGGATAAAGAGGGCGCAACACTGGGAAAGTTGGAATTAGTTCCTACATCGGTCATTAGATCCGGCTATAACAGACCACAGGCTGCTCCACAGCCTCTCTGGACGAAGCGAGCACAGTCATACTAGACAGTGAGAAGAAAGGAGATTGAACAATAAATGTTGGACCGTTAAATAATATATGCATAATGAGAAGTATATATACATGAACTCTGTTGAAACCTGTTAACATTAACAGCCGAAATAATATGAAATGGCCTATATTTCATCACTTGGCGCCCAATGCAGCAACCGCCGCGACCAATGCATCGAGGGCCGAGCTATGTGTTGACGCATCCACCACTGCCTGGATAGGACCAGCCCAGTTGACGCCGAACTGTCCCTTTTCATTCCGATCATTATTCCAGATGCTGGTCGCACAGCTGCTTATCACCTTCTGGTAGATATCGTGAGGGGATGCTTTCTGCAACATCCGCAGGTTGCGAATGAAAATTCCCTTGAACTGTGTACCATCCGGAAGGCATTCCGGCTCACAGAATTCATGGATAACATTGTTCGAGTCTGCCAATGCCGTAATGGCTGCCTTTGCAATCTTGTTGGCTGCGGGTAGGTATGTATCATTGGGTGCCGCTCTATTCAATTCAACCAGTCCGCCAAGGACAACTCCTTGATTATATGACCATCTGCCGAAGATTAGCCGAAGGGAAGGATAATCGGAAAACAAATGCTTACACAGTAGCTCCGTTGTTCTTGCAATTGTCTAAAAGACCATCGTTGACGGTGCCGTTTGCACCAATGAAGTCCTGAGCCGCGAACCAGTCCCACTCCTTCTGAGCCCAGCGGACATAAAATTCTTTTCTATCGGGGACTCGGTTTGCAAGGTGTGCTGCAACAGAGAGAAATACCTCGTTTGTAATTGCATTGACGTATGTGCTGTTCGGACTCCAAGGAAGACCACCACCTCCACAATGGGTGCCCCATGCGTTTGCCTAGAAAGCATTAGCATACATCAAAATACCTATTGACCTTAGTCTATGCATACCAAGCTCTCAAATATTCCCTCAGCCAGTTCTAGGTATGTCGCCTGCTTTGTGACATCGTATGCGGCAATCCATGCAAGGGCCCACCATCCATCATCGTCATAAGCCTGATCGAGCCACTGGCTAGCATTGACAGAAGTTGATGGTTGGTTGTCGCGAGTATACACAGTTTTATGTTCCGGTCCGGGACTAGGATTGGACACTGGGCCCACGTGGAATGTGTTGTTGAAGACATATGTGGCTGTATCAATCACGGAGGGATCAAGAGCAGCTAAATCTGCCACTGTATTCATGCAGCTCGCACCATCCCACCAACCACAGGTGTCCCAAATGCCACTGGTGGAGTTATACCAACCCTGAAGGGTCTTGAGCGCGTCGCGTGCTCTTGTTCTTGCGTCACCAGCAACTGCATTTCCTGCCAGAAGCAGTGAAATAACTGAAGGGGCCAGAAGACCCTGGCGAGAGAACAACATGGTTGGGGGATGTGAAAGGAAAAGCGACCTATTTAAGCGGAGTTACGAAGGGCAGTGCGTGTTCGCTTTAAATAAGACAGATGGGGTATTCAGACCCGGCTCCTAGACACATTACGGCATATCCTAACCAAATATTCGTTGTACATTCTTGCGGCTGTAGTGCCTTGATTGGCGATCAAAATCAATCTGACCCACTGTAGCAGATCGCTAGGCCCCTGATCTGCAATGATCGCCTCGTCGTGAGACTGAAACTCGTCTAAAACCACGAATATGTATGCAGGTGAACGGCAATCTAAGGAACCAGCCTTGCAGAAAGACTGGTCCGATCTCAGCCAATTTGTCAATCTTCCTATTTCTCTTCATCAAGGGGGCTGTCGATTCATCAGGTTGGCGCTGTACTCCGTATAAGTGTTGCCATTAGCGCCCATCCCTTGCAATGCGATCCCCGCTCCTTTTTTCGCTGAACAAGAAAAATGGAGATTTTCATTGTGTCATTGTGAATAACTCATCGCTCTGTCGGGCCCGCTATGAGTTCATTTTTTGATCAGAATCGAAAACCCTATCGTCCCCAGAAGCCCACTTAAGCGCCGTTGGTAGGTTTTTGGATTAAGCCTATTTGTTCATTGGATGTGATTGGTCAATTGAAGTGATCGTTGATCATCAAATCAATTGACCTTTAATGTGTCGCGACCGAGCTTACTTGAACCTGTCTGTAATGTAATGTGCATTTGGGGCTGCATTATTTTCAGCAGATTGGTTCTCTTGAGCTTGGGCGCAATTAGCCTCGAGGGTAGCTCTATGAGACACTCATTGTCTGACCTGCATGGCATTTTAAATCGGACTATTGACGTCAGCCGCAGCTCCATTCCAAGGTTGTCATCCCCGTGGGAGACAGGTGTCTTGGCATATTCTCCGTGCAGCCAACTGTCGGCGAAAGGGAGAATTGAATATTCTCGTAATCGGTTCGACTTTTTTTAAAGGCAGCGGATTGTAGGGGAAAATTAAAAGGGGGAGAAGTCTCTTTTTCTCAATAATATTATCTCGAAGTCGGGGTTCGCTCTGTTCGCTAAAGCTGAGACAGACACGTACCACAAGTCAACAACGAGGCATATTCTAATATGTAATGTTCACTCGGTCATAGTCATATCACCCGGCATTTTCCAACTGCATCCGCAATGCATAACGAGAACATAGAGAGACACACGTTGCAGAACATAGGAGGTAGCCAAGTAAACCAAGGGGTTCGGCATCCCTTCTTTCACTACTTTCAGAGACTTAACAGAAAGATACCTCACCAATTAATACGTCCTTTATTCAACGTAAATAAAATGCACATGAACGGTCAGGGAGTGAAAACAAAAAATTCGTCTACCATGCCTTGCGCGAGATTCCGAAGATCGACGATTATATGTTCATTCGCACCGGAACCTAGGGCTAGCAAAAGATCGCCCGAAATAATCAAAGAAACGTCACAACGCGGAAACGAGCGTCATTTTGTGGGTAAAATTTGGGTTCATCCAGATGGAAACACTCCGGTAGGAATCTGCTGTTTGGTGACGACGATGCGACAGATTTTGCGGAGGCCCACAAGATCAATTCACTTCAGAGGCCGACTAACTGCGCTATAAATGCGAAGTATTTTATACCAAGTAAGCAGTAACTAAATGATTTCTGTTCTTAACTTCTGCCTAGTATGGTAGCCGTAGTTGGAGGCTAAACTTGAAAATTGAAGAGCAGAGCTCTCCTAGCTTGATGGCCGGCAAAGGATCATGGATTGTCTCAGACCTCTAATTCAGTCAAGGTCTCTGATAGTTAGATATATACGATAAGAACTAGGAAGACCGAGGAAAGAAAGTTGATTTTGTGAAGAAGAGAGACTACTTGGAGCTGACCAACTAACTGCCCGACATCCATACACCTGTACCAACAAAATCCTTCTTCCTTTCCCTTCCTTCGCATCCCCTCCTCTCCATATTTCCATCCTTACTATGGTAAATATCGTAGGTTCCTTCCCTATTAACATCATTCATCTAGCAGCGGTTCCCCTTAGCATAACTACAAGACGGCAAATATATTAACCGGGAGGAAGGGAATTCTTGATGACTTGGCAATTTTACATAGATTGAGTAGCAAATCATGGCGAAGGATAGATAAAGGATTAGCCATTGACAATTTCTAAAGAAAAATGAGAGATATATATCTTTATACATCCTCTATTGAGAACATAGTTGGTGAGGCCAGTATACCCCTCACTAGCGGTAGTGAGAGCACATTTTTATAACCTTTCCTTTGGACGATAACCAGACCGTGCTCTCACCAATAATAGCGATACTTTCGCCCATTACTTTCTACATGTGTAACCTCTGATTCCAGCTCTGGATTGTCCACCAACTTCTTTGCGAAAGTCCGGTTGGCCCACTGAAAGCTGAATGTCTGTGTGATTATTCCGGCGAGCCATACTGCGCCCAGGGATATACAGACAATCCATCCGGTATGATAGAGAGGGGCATCGCTCTGCATTAAGTATCAGTTGCATGTTCTCCACTGAACAAAGGTTTAACACCAATGGGAGCTTTACGTACCGCTCTGAATACTTGGTTGCCGTATGTACCCCCTAGGTTAGAACATCCAACTGCGGTACCGTTTGTCAGTAATCATCCTCTCTCAAAATCACCAAGGACAATGATTCCTTACTGTATACCGCATACGCGACGGCGCGTTTCTGGGGCGTCTTAAAGTTTAAGGACAACCAGGTTACATTGATCGGCTGCCAGTTGCTACCGGGTACTGGTTAGTTAACCGTTAAATTTCAGCATCAAACATCACTTACGGGGCAGATTGGGTGACTAGATAGGCCGCATAAAAGGACCACGAAGCCTTGGACGTGACTGGGAGAGACTGCGATAAGAACGTCAGAAGTCAAATACTACACAGCAGAGCAAAGGGTATCAGCCTTACATAAAGTGCAATTAGGCCCGCCAGGGTCCACACAGCCGAAAGGGTGATTGCATACCCAAACCGACTATACCTGTCTACAAATGTAGATAGCACAATGCCAAAGATTGCACCCAGCAGATTTCCAGGGGCATTAAGCAAGTTAGCTCGGATTGCACTGAAGTTGAGCGACTTGATGATGGTTGCACCCCAGGTGCTCAGCCCATTCGTAGATTGTAGGCCGGTCAGGCACACAATGAGGTACGGCCAGGTAGCCCAGTGGAAAAAGACATCGGTTCTTTAGACAGCCACATATTAGTCGAAGCTTCGGTAGCTATTAAGCAAGAGGGGCACACACATATCTTTCCAGCTAATTTTCAGAGTCGACCCGGCTCCCTGCTTGTATTCCTTTCTGACTTTTCGTGCAACGAGGATGTCAGCTTCATGCTCGTTGAGCCAGCCCCGTACACGGATAAGACCACCAAAGAGGTGACCTGTATGGTACGGAGACTTGGGCACAAGAGCAAAAGCCAGAACTCCTACGGCTGACTCGGGCCTGATATTAGCTAGGCAGGCAACACGGGATGTTGGTATGTGCATACTTATCGTAGAGACGCCACATATGACAAATATCCTACACAAATTACCCTCATGTCAACAGAAGTCACCTCGAGACGAAGCACAAAAATAAAAGCTAACCATTGCCATCCACTTAATCCTCCCTGCAAATGTAACGTCAAAGCCCCCGCCGAAATCAGCGAGCCAAAAGCCCCAGCCAACGCAGGCCCCAGGAAGAATATTGCAGTACGCTGTGTGAGTTCATTGGGTGCATACCATGTCGATAATATGTATAGGCCACCGGGGATGAACCCGCTCTCTGCAAGCCCTAGGAACAACCGTGCAACGTACCAACTACGGGCATTAGTCACAAACATTTGCAATACCTCGATCAAGCCCCAGACGACAACCTGGGCCGGAATCCAGTAGTGCGGACCCACTCGGTGGAGGATGATCTGCTTGGTGAGTTAGACGCGGATTCGCTATCCCCCAAAAAAAAGGGAGAAGTGGGGAATACGTTTGAAGGGATCTCAAGCAAGACAATGCCCAGCCAGAGTAGAGAGACACCTGTGTTGGCCTGATCCCGGGTCATAGACGTGTCGGGCAGGAAGGTGGAGGTCAGCACACTCGACACATTGGTACGATCAATGGCCATCCAGGTAAACAGTAGCTGAGGGTGATTTTTAGCGGGGAAGGATAATACGAGAGAGGTCAGGACGGCGGGGAGACCGACCGAGAATATGGGGAGGAAAAGAAAGTCGAGTTTGCGAACGATGACAGATTCTTCATCCAGTGTCCAAGTGACAAGGACTTGGTGGCCATCTTTGAGGATAGGGTGAGAGAGCGTGCCTTGTTGGGCTTCTGGGTCTGGATTGTCGCTCTCCGAGGGAGGGGGAGTGCCATTATAAACCTGATGCACATGTAGATTAACCGGTGTGTCTTTCTCATCAAAGGATTCCTTTGCAGGAAAATGCAGTTTTCCTTCTGCCATGTTGTAGTGTGGCTGATCCAGCCAGTTCTGCTGGTAAGCTGAGCGCCAATACTGGAGTAGGAACGATGCGTAGGGCTAAGATATCATTAAATTTGGGCTCTCACTACATTATATGAATTGATTGTCAATCTTCCTCCGAGTTGATATCGTCCGGTCCAAAGTCTATCGTTGAATCCATACATACGGTAGTTGCGGTGCATTTTATACGCTTAAGGGTTGGCGTATGATGTCGTCTTGGATAGAATTATGTCGTGACTTGCCCTAGGTGGAAGCACCCCATACCGGAATTTGAGAATCTCTCTTTATACGATTAGGCCTTGCCGTATGGGACTAAAACTTCGAAGAGTAGGTGAGCGTTTCTGGTGATTGCCTATTTCGGTAACCGAACTACCTAAATAGGATTAGTGTGCGACTATCGGACTAGAATCACATATTCCGTATCGGAAAAATGTCATGACTTGTCTACGACGCCTATGGAAAATGTCAAGTCTTGTGTATGATTATGATGCTACATATCTTTCTACATTAGGCGTAATTGGTACGTATAGCTGACCAGATCCTGATCAATATTCATTTGCACTCAGAATGTATTGGTTGGTCTATTTACCGGCGATGACGTCCCTGCTCGAATGTCTTTGCTGACGCCATATAGAGTTAATACACGGCATTCTAGGGTTATAAAACTGGTGTTCCAACCCCGGTTGTGCGGCACATCACAAAGAACAGTGACATACGTAGAGGAATTTCCTATACCCATTGACGCCATACACAACCAAGTACGCGCCATCCCACAATTCTGGAACTCACGTTTGCATCATGGGTAAGCGGCATATAGAAAAGAGGTATAATATATCGGCTTGTTCCGCACCTTATCTAAGTTCCACACTTCGCTTCTGCTCCTGGGGTCGTTGACCCGCATGGAATGTACAACATACGTTGAGGTAATTAGCAATCTAAATACATGACAGATAATTTCACGCCATGCTGTGATTATATAATTAGCCTCTGAGGGTCGGTTACATGGCACTTGGTATGATACACAGTAAAGATATGAAGCAGGGTTGTTGTGGACTTAATTTTTTTCCCCTTAGAGCCTTTAACAACGCACGACAGCGTACCCAGTCCCCTTCCAGCATTACGCGTTTCATTTCCAATGTCGTCTACCACCGAGCCTGCCCACTCTCTCCCCACCTATTTCATTGGTCATGCCGGTGTGGGACTTCTCTTTGATGATAGACCTCGAAACGAAATTGTGCAAGCGAACTTGAGGAATATTGGGGAAGAGATCCTTTCTTTGTCACCGCGTCCCAAAGCGGTTGTTGTCTTTAGCGGTCACTTTGAAGCGGACGAGATCCATGGGCCAGGGGTAATTGAAGGCGAGCTTACGTGATAGCATGGATGTTAACCCGTGGTCAAATAGAAGGTCAAACTGATACATATATATAGTAAATGTCAAACGTGTGACACACATTCAAGTGAGCAAACATATCTGCTATGTTCTAATCAATACCCATGGTGTGAGGTGAAAAAAATACTGATCATACATCAAGCACGACTTTGTCAACGACTTCCATGACTCTAAGCCGTTCGTCTATGAATACAACTGGCCGCATCAAGACGCGCCGGAGCTAGCGGCACAACTGTGGGAACATCTACGCAAGGCAGGAGTTAAGGCCAAACGAGTGGAGCGGGGAGTGGATCATGGTGTCTGGGTGCCGTTCAAGGTTATGTTTCCCAATGAGAAACCGCTGGACATACCCGTAATCCAAATCTCTACATTCCATGGGACCAATCTCGAGAGCCAGATCCGTCTGGGTCAGGCCTTGCAGTCGCTACGGTAAGTCTGACTCTGAATCATTTATGGATAACGCATATAAAGTAACCGATGACCAACACACATCTAGACATGAAGGTTATCTCATTATAGGTTCAGGCATGGCTGTTCACTCGTTCGCATCGATCGAGGAGATTGTAGATGCCCCAACAGAGGAGAGGGAAGCCACCCGGGCTAAGGTCCTTACCGAGTCGCGAGCGTTTGATACCCATCTGAGAGCAGCAGTGACAAAAAGGGATGCAAAGGAGAGAAATCAAGCCCTGCTAAACTTAGAGACCCTGTACGAGTTCAAGCGCTCCCATCCGACTGTTGAGGTACGTTCCATTAAATCTTCTAGAACTCACCCAAGAGGTCCCCTAACACTTGCTCGACTTGTGTATTAGCATTTTACACCACTTCTGGTGGCTGCAGCCGCGGCTGGAGATGCAGATGTAGAAGCCCTAGGCGTGGACTTAGTCGACCCAGGCTTCTCTTATCTCAATCTACGTTTTGTTTAGGAAGAGGCAAGGGTCGGGAATCGCCCATCCAACTTTATGGCTGAATATAGGGTGGGGTCTTACTAGTGAATCGTAAGGTCTGTCAACAGTCATAAGAGCCGCATTGACATCGAATCGGCTGTTGATATCATTTTACTTGCGGTTTTCTTATCCATGGAGCACACACTTCCATTGCACATGTTTATCAAGCGTTTGAGATAATCTTTAAGTGGACCTCCTTTTAGAGTTAAGCCGAGTAGAATACTCATGGTTATCTTCAACCTTCCAAGGTTCAACCGGACTCCCGAGATCAGATTCTAATTTTCTGTCAGCTAGATTCGATCGCATAGGCAGGAAGAAGAGTTTATTAGACACCTGTAGTTCCCGTTCGGTTCGATAGCTCTATAGACTCATCTCGTACGCTTACTTGTACAGTTTTCATAATTTGTAATCCTTGAATACCCTCGGATGAGTCCATGATTGGGTCCTCTTCTCGCTCCCAGCCCTTTACTCCTCGCCCTGTTCTCACACTACGGGACATCCGGCGAGAGATGGTATCCTTCGGTGCAGTAGTTGTCGATCGAGAACCAGACTTTGGCGGCCCCCGATGTGTGTATGTTATCCCCATATCGTCTTCGTAGACTGCAATGAAGGACTTGAGAAAGGCTGTCAACAGGCAGGTGACACTTATCCCTATGTATGTCTCCGTTGAGACCGTGGCATAGGACCCGATGAGAGTTGGGTCTTCGGAGGAGAGTTGGACTAGGATGAAGTGCAGACGAACTGCCGCGATGGGAATGAGTCTATCCAGTTGTCACGGTGTCAACAAAAGAGCTCACAAAAGAGTTCCTAAATCAATCGTCTAGTGAAGGGACTTACAAAATCCGACTCTCGAGAGCGCAAAGAACAACAATCTTTTTCTTTGTCGAGATTCTGACTTGACGGATTGCAAGTGCCGCATACACAAGAAGTAAAATCTCGGTACAAATGTCGAGGGCTGTAATGACTTCCCAGCGGGGCCGCTGTAGCTTGGTCAGTGCTTATACTCATCAGGGGTAGGGACAGGTCTTACCAATCCACTACACTCAGCGTCGCTGATATCGGACCAGGGATTAGAAGAACACCGAGTTCCTAACAGGATGACGGATAGTATCGTCCACGCGACCATTACTGGAAGCATGACGTAGGAAATCCGACGTTGTATCTGAGAGAATAGGCCCTCATAGAACATGCAGGCTGTCATCTTCGAAAGGCCGAGCACAACAATGGAGAAGATATCGGCAGCATATACTATCTTCGTAATGTTAAATATGTCAATATCATTAAATTCAATCACAACGCTTAGTTAGTTACCTTTAACATTAGCTCTTTGCTTGTCATGTCGATCCCGTCGATCGGAGTTCCCCACCCATAGTGCACCTGGCAAAACACGATGATAATTTGGACGATTGCTGCAAGCTATGAATTTGTTAGTTGAAAGGCCAGAAACTCAAGCATTGTAAGTTTAAAATGGTGTGAATAATACTGTACCACCAGAGCACCAAATGTGTAATCATCTCGCTGTAGTCTATTCCTATGGTAGGAAGAGAAGGTGCGCGCTGCGAGAGAAAGCAAAACCAGACAAAGATTGACTGCGGTGATGACCACAACCAGTCCGCTATGGTTATGGTCATTATCTGTCGTGAGAGGAGGGCTCACACCCGTAGGCCATGTGGTCGAAGTGGCCGACATGACAAGCTAGAAGTCGGGTAAACACCGGCAGAAAAAGAAATTGAGATCAGAAAATTTCATATTTGAAATATGACAGGGAAGGTTAAGGCAATTCTAATTATTATGGAATTGGAAGAACCCTGATCCTCGAATGGGTAGGTGTTGGGGCCAAATGGTCTAAAAAAAAATAACTCCTACGGCAATCAACCCTTGTTCGCTAGAAATGCCGAGTTTATCAACGCTAGATTTATTCAGTCGACGATACGAGGGCGCCTAGTGGGCCACGATAGCACCAAACATGACCGGGGGTAGAGAAACAACCGAGTGGCATGGTTTGCAGGGATTGTAATCCTTGTCGAACTATATCAAGGCTAGCAGGGCACTAGAAGCGAAATGGAGTCAAGGGCGTCGATTAAAAATTGATTTCCTCATTGAAATGACCGGCCCCCCATTCCTTAGAATACTCTTCCAGGTTGGCTTTGAAAGATTTGTCGACCTGTGCCAGTGTGAGTGAACTATGTATCTACGAATGAATGAACGACAATGTTTTTATGGGCACGGATCTGTGGAAAAGACTTCATCTACCCGCTCCCGTCCCAATCAAGAGCAATGCACCGGCTTGGCACAAGTCAAGCCAATGAGGATGTAGTCCCCGGTGGAGAACATCACTACACGACATTCGTATCTTGGTGGATTTCGTACTTTGGACAGTCTGCTAAACGATGGTATCCGTACATTGTGACCAATAGTTATACATCCCCCACTTAGTAAAGCCTCGAAGGAATTTGTTCATGCATCCCTACTCTAGTGCCAAAAAAATCTCCTATCTCTGAAACAAAAGCCGCTCTAGACCCCGATCAGAAATTTAAATTATATTGGGATTTTAAATCGAAACACGCGAACTAGATAGTCATCAGTCGAAATGAAAGGCTTCAAATGCTTCGGCTGTTTTTCCCGTTCCCCTCGGTGGGGCAGCACAGGGCAGCACAGGGCAGCACGAGGCCACAGGGGTACACTGTAAGGGATCCATTGTTCCACGGGTATCTCGGCCATCCATGCGAGGTAAAATTTAATACTTTACTCCCACAACCCCCTTAATCCTTGTGAATCAAGTTATATCTCAGTCACTCTTTTGTCTGGATTGGTATTCATCGCATTATGGAAACCTCAATCAAAGCGACCGCGATGGAGACCCTAGATATGGGTATAGATCATAGGAATCTAGAGGCGTCCCAAAAAGGTGGGACAACTCTGGATGACGATGAAATGCATCGCATGGGAAAGGTTCAGGAGTTCAAGGTTCGTTTACTCGCTTAGACAGGTATCAAAATCCATGGCTAATGTTCTGCGACTTCAATTAGAGAAACATGCGACCTCTTGCAGCATTGAGCTTTGCATCAGTTTTGCAAGCCACTTGGGAATATCTGATCATGTAAGCCAATTGAAATATCCTTTCTCTAAGTGACATGCATACCGGACAAGCATACTAACTCTTTCCAGCTCTGGCTCCCAGGGATTGGAGAATGGAGGTCTAGCAGGCATGTTCTGGTCATACATTTGGACATTTATCGGATTCGGATTCATCATTATGTCGTTGTCGGAAATGGCTTCGATCGCACCTACCGATGGAGGTCAATACCATTGGGTATCAGAGTTTTGCTCGCCTCGATACCAAAAGTTCCTCAGCTACGTCACTGGCTGGATGTCCGTACTGGCATGGCAAGCCGGAACAGCTTCTGGATCCTTCCTCACCGGCACCATCATCCAGGGTTTGATTAGTGTTCGCAATCCAGATTATGATCCTAAAGGCTGGCAAGGCACTCTACTTGTGTTCTCAATGGTGCTAGTGTCATACATTTTCAATGTGTATGCGTCAGACCTGATGCCAATGCTGAGTAACATCTTGATGATTCTCCACGTCCTTTGCTGGGCAGTGATTTTGATTGTCCTATGGGCCATGTCCCCTCATCGATCTGCTGAAGATGTTTTCGTCAATGACTGGAAAAATCTGGGAGGGTTACCTACGATGGGAGTGAGTGTGATGGTTGGACAAATTTCAGCTATCTACGGCTGCCTTAGTAAGTTTCACTTGTGTTATTCATGCAGATAAAATCCCATGGAAAAGAGACTAACTACCCCTTAGGTTCCGATGCCTGTGCGCATATGTCGGAAGAAATCAAGGACGCTGGCCGGAACGTACCACGAGCTATGGCCTGGGGATATTTCTCTAATGGAATTATGGCAGCCATCTTGCTGATTGCCTACCTCTTCGCCACCCCATCTGTCGAGGATTCCCTTAACGATGTCACCGGATTCCCATTCCTCTACGTGTTCAAGCAGGCTACCAACACGGCAGGAGTCAACGGGTTAACAGCTATCATCTTGTTGCCTGTCATTTTCAGCAATATCATGTTCAATGCCTCCACCTCTCGCCAAACTTGGGCTTTTGCTCGTGACAAGGGTCTTCCCTGTTCTGGCTGGATTTCCAAAATTGATCCCAAGCGCAAAATCCCCGTCAATGCTATCTTCCTCTCTTGCATGTTCAGCTGCCTGCTTTCTCTGATCAACATCGGTTCTGATACTGCATTCAACGCCATCATCTCTCTTAACACCGCTGCGTTGATGTACACCTACGTGATCTCAATGACCTGTCTGATCTGGCGAAAGATCTGGCATCCGAATACCCTGCCAGTCGGTCGGTGGGATATGGGCCGCAACAGGGGGTTGGCTATAAACATCATCGGCCTGTGTTACTCCGTTTTCGCGATGTTTTGGTCATTCTGGCCAGGTGAGCTACCGGTCACTGCTGAAAATTTCAACTGGAGTGTTGTGATCTTTGGTGCGGTCTTCATTCTTAGTCTTATCATGTATGTCATCAAGGGACGGAAAGAGTATTCTGGCCCAGCTGTGGATGTCAAACGTGAGGACTAGATTGTTGTATATTGACAACAGTTTAAAGAGGATAATAGATTTAAAAGCTACTAGTGAATAACTACGTCAAAATTCATATATTTAAGATATGAAAGCTGTAACAGAATTACACAAAACATAACGGGTGTGGCCGCTGGGTGCCTGTCCGAGTTCGCCGCAGTCTTTAGTGAGTATCCACCCTGCCGAACTTGAAGCATTAGGGAGAATAACAGTGCATCGTAGCGGTACTTATCTAAGATTGTCCTTTTGACCGAAAATAATGGCTATATTTAGAGTAATAAGACATTTCTACAAACTCGAAATGAGACTCGGTTGCTAAACCGTGACGGGGTAGTGTCCAAGGGCACAAGTGCATCAACCGTCAACCGGGTGCAATTTTCATCATCAACCAGTCAAAGTTGGATGCTCTGCCAAATTAGCCCAGAAATCCATCTCGAATTCCCAAGGCTGTGAGTCAATGAACGCATTCCAGTCTTCCGTGAGATAAGTGTTCTCGTTCTGATGTGAACTGCAGAGTTCGGTATGTGGTTTCCATGCAGTCAACGAATCCAACAAGCTCCGAATCGTTTGAGTAGCGCGAGTAAAAAGCGCAAAGTTTGGCTCCCCAGCTTGGATCCATGCGCCTATGGAGATCTCTGCAACAAGTGTACTTAAATCTTGTAACATCTTCGAACGTGGAAATGGTCTACAATCAGCGCTTATCGGATGTAAGAGGGCCAATGAAACAATTCCTGCCGCAGGAAGCCCGTATTGTGCAACCTATTATCTGATGAGAAGGTGAAACCGACAGAGTTTGCGTGTGATAGGCTTACTTTCCAAATCAGAGATGTTCCGGAATTTACCAAACGATCACGGAGAATAATCACTTCCACTGTTATAGAGAGCATCTCGCCTGCAACCTCAAGAAGAGACTGGTCTAGTTCCGATGCTCTCTTTTGTGAGACCAGCCCAAGTAGAAGGAGAATGTGTAAATAATCGAGTCTAGTTCCAGCAAGGAAGTCCCGCTCAAACGGGCTCCAGTCGCAATCCTTCAGGCTGGTAGCGAGACGAAAGTGAGCTGGAAGCTCCTGCCATTGCGCAACAATACGTGATCGAAGTTCACTTTTAAATCAGCATAATGGGTAGAGTAGAGTTTGCAAAGAATCGATTTGCTGACCTTATCCTTTCTGTTTCATTGAGGTGGCGCTTACGAAACATTAACAAAACTTCCTCCTTCAATGACGCAAACAAGGCCGAGCAACGTGTATCTGCAGTGTAATTGATGGGTTCAGGGTTGTCTTGAGTTCGGCCGCTCATCCCCCAGTTGACATTCGAAAGGGGTGATCGAGTCAGGCTGTCAAACCCCGCGGCATATTCGTCATTCCGTACCCCTGGGTGAGTTGGAAGCTGGAAGAAACAATATTCCTTGACGATTCGTGGCGGTCGTCCAAGAAATATTGCCAAACTTTTATCGGCGGCATAAATACGCGCGAAACACGCCCTCCGCAACTCGGCGAGGAAATCGGGAATGCCATCCATACCCCCATTAATTTTCTCATGGTATCCCAGGGCAAAGAGGGAGCTCGCGACGTCTCCCATCCTTCGCCAAGAGTGATAGCCTTGGTCTAAAATTTAGCTCTTCCGAACGCAAACTCGTAACAGATAAACGGTGGAGTAACTGACTCTGATCTCCATCGACTTGGGAATGTACTATAAGGTTTTCATACTGCAGAACAAGTTGCAGATCATTCAAGCAATCGAGTGCAAGACAGGTCTCCAAACAAAAATCTCCAATAAGACATAAGGTTTTGGTAAGCTCGCGACGCTGCCGATCAGTTGCGAACAGTGCCGGAAAAGAGCAAGTGTCCAAAGTGGCTCGTGCTGCAGCTGTTAGGAAAATTCCGAGGGCCTCCAATCGTAAATTCTCCCCGAGAATCTGACTCAGAAATAGCTCAAAGCTTGAGTCATGCTGTACGACAATTGGCTTCTGGGTGCTTTCCAAGAGAATTCGGACCCTGTTACGGGCATCAATCCTATAATCCGAGCTATTCCAGGAAGGTTTGGGGTGCTTGCTCCAATTTGTGACTGCATTTAAGGATTGGGGCACGAATGGCCCAGCCAAGGGGAGATTGACACCCCTCTCAAGCCAAGATCGCACCAAAGATGCAAGGTTGGGTATGTCCAGCTGATCCAAGTGACTTAACGCGAACAACCCCTTCTCCAAGATTGTCAAGTCCTGGATGGAATCGGTTAGAGCAGGGGAAATAGGCGGAGGAGCAGGTTGCTGCACATCATGCTGAGGTGCCGCGACATGCGCCGTCGTAGATGAAAAGACCTGGTTGAAAATAGTGGAATGACTTGACATTCCAAGATAACCAGGGTTTGGATAGTGACGGGGCAGGGATGAAGCGTTTGAATTTTCTTCGTCTGGTGAGCTGACTGGTAGTGACCCAACCATATTTTCTGATAGTGCCTCCCTAAAAGATGGATTTTAGAGCTGAGGCACAGCCATGCGCGTCGAACTAGCGGGACTCACACTGACTCATCGACTCTATTATTCTGATTCCTTCTCCGGAATGGACGGGCTCTGTATACGCACAAGTCATTGTGCCCCCGATGGCGGCATCGGGAGCATGTAGGCCGCTGATGGTCACAAGCCAACTTTGCCCGCCGACAAGGATCGCACGCGACGCTTCTAACAACCATCTTCAAGGCGCAAACGCGATAAATCTACAAAAAACCGGGGTAATAATAAAGGAAGGAAACCTTCTACCGGGTTGCTCAATCCAGCAGAAGCTCACAGTGCGAGTGTGAGAGTGTGGGCGGGCGGGCACCTGCGCACCCGGGCGCCCGGGCGATATTGTTGGATTAGTCATGTTTGGGGGGACAGCAGGCGGGTAGACAAGGGCATCTTTGGGGCCGGGTCTCTGGGGTGGATACCACATGCTAGTGCAACTCGATTTTAGACAAATATAATTTAAAACAGAAAGAGTTGGTGAGGAATTACGGCAACTGTATATATATATATATATACCTAGATAAGAACATTCCTCTCTTCACACTACAGCCCACTACAACCTGAGCGTTGATACCCCTCATCCCATTGTCGGCGAAGTCGGTACAGAGCTACTCATTCGACCGTATCCAACAGATGGAAACATGTTTTCAAAGCTTCCCCAAAGCGCATCACAGCCTCCTCAATTTGGTCTAACGATGCCGCTGCGAAAGTTGTCCTATAAAAGACTTCATTGCAAGTGGAGTCTCCTGTGGCACTGAACCAACTGCCGCAGGCCACGAGCGCTCCATTTGAGATGGCTTTAAGCCAAATCTCCTCCTCTATCTGTAGGGCAGATTTGATATTTGCGTCGGGGTGCTTTGTCCAATCTACTGCCAGCCATTGCTACCAGAGAATATTAGTATCTTGGGTGAATCAGCAAAAAGAAATTGTGAGCTTACAAACATGCCAGCCTGAGCAGGCTCCCAACTAGTAATTACACTCGGTAGATAGCGCTCGCAAGCCCGTATCATAAAGTCTCGCCGATCTGTGTATTCGTTGCGAATGTGCGTGAGCCATTCCAAATATCCAGCGTGTCCCCAGTGCTCATCTAGAAGTTTGAACAGCGCCAGCTGACTCAAGCCACCGGGACCTTGAGTTGAAACGTCGGTGTGGTTCTTGTATTGCTCGATCACCTGTTGGGGCGCGGTGAGCCATCCTAACCGGATTCCCGGGCTGACTACCTTGCTAAAGGAGTCCATGCGAACCACCCGTCCGTCGGTATCGATGGAAAGATACGACGGTACGAGGACCTTAAGCAGTTCTGCTGGTGTCTGGGGACCGAGTCTCGTTGAGTCTCGGGTTTCTGCCGCCGAGAAAGGATTCATCTGCAGAAAGTAGTATGGGTCGTCTTCCAAAATGATGAGATCGTGTTCTTGGGCTATGCGGTAAATGTCTCGGCGACGTTCTAGGCTCTGTGTTGCGCCCGTCGGATTCTGGCCCGTGGGGATTGCGTATAGTAAGAAAGGTTTCCGGGAACCTCCATGCACGTTCCGATCCCATCCCTCAAGTATCTGACAGAGGCTGTCCGGTCGCATGCCTTCCTTGTCCATTTTCACGCCTTCGAACTTGACACCCATCGGTTTTGCCGTTTCCATCGCTGTTGCGAAGGTGTACTCATCCGACAAAACGCAGTCTCCAGGCTGAGTAAACATGCGCAAAGCCATATCCAAGGCTGATGTGTTCCCGACCGTCATTGTACATTGCCAATCAGCGTAAGGAGGATCGTGTACTATCTCCGTGTGCTCTGTGATCCATCTCAGAAACTGGGCTGACCCGCTTCCCTGGCTATAATTCAATGCCACTGAAAGGTCGTAAATGCTACGGCCTTGGCTGATATCGCACTTTGAAGCGTGCAGGGGAGAATTTGCGCCATTCGAATCACTGTTCTTGGGATTCGGTTTCTCGGGTGAGGAGATGGTCAAAGATAGACTCTCGAATGGAAAGTAATCACTCAGAGGGAGCCCCCCTCCCAAGGAGATCACACTGGGGTTTTTGAGGTGTTTAAAGGCGCTTTTAAGGGTCGATCCCGTCCGACTCATAGACTCCGAACTTAGATAATCTGCATGGGTCTCTTAGCAACTCTCATCGAGATTCTCGGATCATGTCCTGGGTGAAGCATACACAGCATTGGGGAGGAAGGGGAGGTCACTCACGGTTCCATTCTCGAGCAATGGGCTTGCCCTGCTGCCTTCTGGTCTTGAATTGTTCGCTACTGCAAGGTGCCGCAACTGCCCATTGGGAGGGATCAACCACTTTGCGCTTGGGTTCAAGGTTGAGGAGTTCGTCAACTTCGCTAGATGCTTGCCGAGTAGACATTTTGAAAGTCAGCTTGGGCCGAGCAGTCCAAAATTGGGTGTTAGGGTCGGAAAGAAGCCGATCAAACTTTTTGGAGAAATCTCACTTGACAATGGTCACCATATATAAAATACCACTCATGGAAAATAGATTGTAGGAAGTGTCAATGTACGGGACATCGGAGTGCATTTCGGCATTAGGTGGGTCTGTCAGACTGGTCGGACTGGGGTGGGGTCTATCAATGTGGATGCCCCACAAGGCTCCGACACTGAGTTGGTACGGAGTTCATTCTGGTTAGAAAAGGCCGGAGGAGTCCGACCTAGTCGGTATGAAGTAGGAGATTAACTGGTTAACCTAGCTCGAAGGCAAGTCAGTTCGGCAAGATACTAGCCTCTTGGTATCGGCGATTGACAATCCACTGCATGTGTATGTACTATTACAAACATGGTAGCAGTAGGCATGCACAGCACTCCTATTTGGGTAAATTAACCACCTCCTTATCACCTTTTTAACTTTTTCCCTTCTTGGATTACTGTAAGCATGATAGTGTCAATGTCTAAAAAAGATTGCACATATCGTCTTTGATTTTGTAATATCTAATTATAAGCTCCTCGGACCCGGGTCCACTGACTATGGCCTCACCTGACGAAAATGAACCCTCAGCTCAGGCTTCGACCACATAACATGCAAAGAACTCTCCGACTCCCAATCCATTGACTTGTTGACCATTTCCATATCGTACATCCAAATCAGTCGGGCGAGAATGAGATTGATCTCCATATAGGCCACGCTGTCCGATTACTAATTAGCGACTGAGTTGTAAAAGACGGAGGTAATCGATGCCCCTGCGAAAGGTGGCGGCCATGACCTACTTTCGTCCTAGACAGGCACGAGTACCAAGAGAAAACGGCTGACTGGCCTCCTTAATACCGGCACAGTCTGGGTCGATCCACCGCTCCGGTTTAAAAGTGTGGGGTCATGGAAGTTAGCCTCGTCATGGGTCACTGTCCACGCACTTGTGTAGACTTCGGCCTGTAGAACGTACAAATGATCAGCGTTTTGTGGGCTCTTGTCGGGGGTAAGACTACCTACACCGGCGGGGACTAAAGTCCCGTCGATAGAGACTCCGGGAGATACTCGAGGAAAGCCTTGGGAGCCTGGAAGGTAGATGCAAAGTCCCTCGCTGATGACGGCTTGCAGATAAGGCAGGCTTTGCGCCGTGACGCTGGTAATCTCCGCGTAGGTGTTGAATTGCCCGCGGATTTCTGCTTTCAATTTCTCGTATACGGCGTCGTTTCGAAGGAGGTAAAAGGTTGTTGCGGCAAGGAAGGTAGCCACTGTCTCTCCACCGGCGATCCTGTTTCTAGGAATCAGAAAATTGGGAGACATAGATGGGATATGATTTGCTCACACCAGGGTAGACGCGTGGGCAGTGAGCTCTTCCCGGTCCATCTCTTTGGACTCTACCTTACCAATGAGGTTGGCCATGAAGTCCTTGCGGGCCGAGGATGAACCAATGCGCCTAGCCAGGATGTTTAGTTGACCACGCTCCTTATTTTAGAATCAGATAGAAAGACTCACCGAGCCACTTTCGCTCTTGTGTATCCAGTATGCTTTTTGCGGATACCGTCCAGAAACGGGGAGAGCAGCTTGGCTATCAAAGCAATCACGGGGAAATGTCGGAAGTTATCTGCCACAGTGATAAAATACAAATGATCTTCAACCAATGATGACCAGAAGTGTGGTTTTCCTAAAGAAGCAACAGAACGTATTAGAGGGGCGACGGGGGTGTTCTGAGGGGTCAATTGACACCATACCATCTTCAATAGAGTGGAAGGATTCGCCGAAAGCTATTCAAAGAAACGTGATGATTAGACTACGCGAGTAACTCTTCGGGAGAGCAGTGAAAAGGCATTGGGGCTTACCAAGTTCTCCGAGGATATCGAATGCCACCATTTCGTACCACTTGGTCATATTCAACCCCCCAGCATTAAGCTCAGGCTCACCCATCCGGGATACAAAGCGATCAACGCATTGGCTAACAATGGCCTCTTGATCTCCCAAAGAACGGAGAGAAAAGGCAGGCGAGAGACACTTTTTCATTCGGCTGTGCTTCTCTGGGTCGCGCTCACTTCCGATGCACAGGGAGCCAAAACCTGCGCCATAAATCTCGTAGAACTTGCTCTTGATCAGGGGGGGTTGCCCGCTGGCACGGTGACCGTAGATGCCTTTCCAAGACGCGACGCTGGCAAAAGACAACTCATTCGGTGAGACCCGGAAAACAGGACCTTATCATGCATATTAGAGGTCTGGGAAAGAAGAACATTGTGAGGAGGCCACAGCCACATACCATATCGGCGATGTCGATCATCAATTACCCGGTGAAAACGACCACCCATGGAATGATAGATCCTCCACGCCTATCGGGTTCCGGTGTAAGCTGAACATAGAGATATCAACGAATAGACGGAAACATACCAGTGACGCGCGAGCTAAAAAGGGACCCGGAAAACCTGCTAGCGGATGAAAATAAATGTTATACAGACTCCGCGTGGTGAGATAGAGTAGTGTCTGGAGTTCCGTGCCATTAGTATACTGCTTATTTTGAAATAGAAAGGTAGAATTTGAGAGATACCAGGACAAACACCACTTTGATGATGTCCAGCAAGCTGGCTGGTTCGTAACCCAAGCTCGCCGACATTTTGTGTAGGGTGATCTGGCCCAAAGGCAGCATTGGAATAGCTTGCCCACCGCTAGCTGGCAGGAGAATTTTTGGTGAAATATACCTGCCCACTTCCCAAGGTTACTGGCGTGTCGTGCTTGACAGAAATGGCCCAGCCTGGTTTGAATTTCGCCCAAATAGGCAACTCCCGAATACATCTCCCTTCCCTGCTTTCACCATGATTTCGTTCTAACCCTTTGGCTTCTTCTGACCAACTAGAAAGTGCAATCGAAAAAGCAGAACTAGGAGCTTCAGTTGAGATCCAGATTCTAACAAATATGGACCTACCTAAGCAGGCGGTAGTTCAAGTGCTTATTGATGATGAATTTGGAGATGTTTCATCCAGGGTTAGACATAAAAGACCACATTCCGACCATAGTAAAAATAAATATCTGATAAGAGCACGTTTTCTATCACTATCAATTTTCATCCATAGTCGTATATTTCGTAACTGATATGTTTCTCCCAGGATCCGCGGCCACTGGCTTATTAGAATCGACCCGCAATTCCGTGACAAGAGGACAGACGGACGTGAGCTTTCGAAACAAGTCCTTTATGTGTTGATCAATGCGCGACATTCTTGCCTGCTGATGCGTGCGGCGGGTGAGGGAGTCGATCATCTTCATGCGAGCTAGAAAGCTTTCCAATTCCAACAGCCGCCTGGTCACCAGCACTCCCATCATGACCTCGTAGTCTCCACCCTCGATCTCATACTCGCCCAGGGCTAAAGGCTGCTTCTCTATCATGGCCACCGGTATGGGTGGTGCCTCCGGACCATTTGCTTCCCTTTGTGCGATAAAAGCATCAATCACCTCCCCGCAGAGAATGGCTAATCGCTCAAGCACCATGCTGAGAATCATCATATTCTCCGACTTCCCTCGGCAAGAGTCACAGTTGATCATGCGCTTGCACAGGAAGATCACTTCCTGGTAGATCGAAAGAATGGAGTCGAGACCTTGCTCGCCGGCGTCCCCTTCATGATGGGGCGACTCCAATTTGTCCAGTAGGAAGACGGCCGAGTTAACGCACGAGCAGGACGATTGCTCGCCCATAGCATTCTCGACAGTATCCTCATTTGATCGGATTGTGCTTACGGTCGGAGCAAGAATATGGGTCAACCGTGGAGTAGGAAGTAGATCCGGCGGTGTGGAACCATTGGAAACGAGCGGCGGCGGCGGCGGTTGCTGCTGTGCGGTGCTTTCTGACCCAGAGTAACTGTCGTCCATCAGTGTTTTATTTCTGGAGCACGGTCCCTGAGCCAACAAAAGCGGGGTGTTTATATACCCAGTGTTGAAGAAATCGGCCGGGACGGGTGGAGAATTCCCCGCCATGGGGTAGTCCGAGTCTGGCACAATGGTGTCCTCACCTTCGAGAGACCAATCGAGGCAACTGGACCAAGTCGAGACTTCCTTGTACATCGGATCGAGGACCGAGCCCGGGTCACCTTGGACCTGGTGCATTGCCTTGTCCGGCCCGATATAATTCTCGTCTACTCTATGCGGTTCCATCGTCAATAGGGACGGCTGCATGTCAGCTGTAGCTGCAGCGTCCCTCGCGGGAGATCGGCTAGCTGCCGCGCCAATTTCTGGACAGGTCTCATTCTCATTGTCCTTTTTAGAAGAGCTGGGCGCTTGCTTCTTCTTGCCTTTCCGTGAGGGCCCTTGGGTATAGTTGCAGGGGAGAGAAAGGGTCTTGCACCGTGAACATCCCCCTTTTCGGCCGCTGCAGCGGATCTATTTGACACGTTTCAATTGCCTCGGTTAGCCGTTTCGAACATGGGCTGTGAACACATGAACTGAATGAAGCCTTCCAGGATTTGAGATCACATACCTTTTTTACCCGGCAATTATCACAGGCCCAGTGTTGAGGTTTGTTGGTTGCCACATTTCCCGCAACCCCTGATTCACGCTCGAGGAACTCCCCGGTCTTCTTCTCGGGCAGGTAGCGCAGAGTTCCGAACATTGCAGGATCGAATTGACTGAGATCGTCGAGCGGGAAAGGCTTAATGAACTTAAAAACGCGCACCGTCTATTTTAACTTGCATCTATGCCATAGAGATATGTGAGATCACGGTGATAAGCTACCTTAAGTAACGGCTGCTCAGCTCAGCCTTGGGTTCATCCTATGAAACGCAGTCTGGCGGCTCAGATCCAACTGGTGGATCGCCCGGATCACCCGAAATCTGATTGGAAGAACCCATCCCGCCGCTCTCGTAAGCAGCCACGTACATTTGTAAATCTGCGGGCTACCAACATGGCCTAATGCAAGGCTTTACGGCGCAGCCGAGTCTCAGGGTCAGTATCTGTATGGTGGATTTTGATCAGTGTCCGGGGCTGGCCCGCCTAAGTATAGTTTGACGCATGGCTCTACATTGCAGAAATGTGATTGGCTCGTGATATGGGGGCGCTGTATTGTCTCGATCGCTCCCGATGTTGCAGCCATAAATTTGGCGTTCACGGCTATTTATGTTGTAAAGCTGCAGAAGTTCAGGTACAATGGCCTAATGGGGACAATCGGACTGTTACCCTTATCGGGTAATTCCCGTAATCTGAAATGCGGGCCTAACCTAGTTGAAGAGAGGAAATACCCGTGAACAATGAGATTTGATCTAATTCGGTCGGACCGGATTGTACTTCATGTCTGATTTCATTCTGGTTGTGTTGTAGAGCATTAGACTCGAATCACATCCACAAACCAAGCACTCACAGACACACACACCTATAATGACTTCTCTCAATCTCTCCGTAGACGATATCCCCCTCCTGGAGGGGAAGACAGCTATCATCACTGGTATCTTCCAGCCCAATGCCTTCCGGTTTAGTTGATGGACCTAGTTGACCCCCGGCCCTAAATTAGGCGGTTGCTCCGGCATCGGATGGGAATCTGCCCAACTGCTCGCCTCGAAAGGAGCCACCGTGTACGTGCTCGATCTCCACCCCCCTCCCACCCAGGAGAATCAGAGCAATGAGGAAGAGGAGACAAAAGCATCCAGGATTCATTACAGGCCCTGCAATGTGACTTCCTGGCCAGCGCTCCGGGCAGTCTTCGACGAAATCCCGCAGGTGGATATCGCCATCGCGAACGCCGGGGTCTCAGAGGAATGCGACTACTTCGTCGACACCTGGGATGCGGAGGGCAAACTCGAAGAGCCGGGTTACGCAGTTGTCGAAGTGAATTATCGCGCGGTCCTCAACTTCGTCAAGCTGAGTCTGTCGGCGTTTCGCCGCGCTGGCAACAAGAATGGTAGTCTCATCCTCACGACCAGTGCCACGGCCTACTCGCCCGAGCATAGTTTGCCAGTGTACAGTGCCACAAAACTAGGGCTGGTGGGCCTCGTCCGTGCCTTGCGATCCTCCTTACCGCATCAGTACGGCGCAACCATCAACGCCGTTGCGCCCGCTGCTACCATCACCAGCCTCTTGCCAGCCAATCTAGCCGCCCCCATCATCGCTGCGGGGGCCCCCGTCAGCACGGCCCAGCATGTGGCCCTTGCAGTCGTATACTCCGCCATCGCCTCGCAAGAAAACTCCGTTGAGAGCTATGGGAATGATGGCCCCGAGCAACTTGGCCCCGGCCGGTGGAATGGCCGTGTCATTCTCACCCTGGGAGACAAGTGGACCGAGCTTGAAGAGCCATTGGCGGAATGTAGGGCAGGGTGGTTTGGGGCCTGGAATACGGAGAAGACTGCGTTCCAGCAGAAGTTGACAGATATGCGATTTGGGGGGTTGAAAGGAGGGGAATGAAAATGATCAAATGTTTCATACGCTTGAAGCGAGCCAGTGATAAAGCAAGCCTAGGGCCAAATAGTTTGGCGAGCCAGCAATAGACTCGGTAGACAGACAATTCTCGCCGAGGCCATTTAGAAACCTATCATGATAGATATTTCTACATTTATTTTCACAAAGAAATAAGAAAGGTAAGAACTACGAGGAAACTAGGGTTGCAAATTGCCTAAAGTCCGGATCCGCTACCAACCGCTCCATCTGCTCCGCCAATAATCCGACGACAATTTCCACCGACCCGTCATCCGCGCGCGGTTGAAAGCTGCAAATGCCTGCAAATTGGCCACGGGGCATCCGGAAGGTATCAATGCGCCCGGAAGTCCCCAGGGCAGGGCCGAAATCCAGCTGGTAGAAGGGGAGCGCGACCCAGGAGGTGGTGACGAGGTCTTCAGCAAACCAACTCGGGAAGGCATTGGCTAAGGGCTGGCGGACGTCAGGAATCCCGGCGGCGAGGGTCACAGCCTCCTTAAGCCGTGATGTATTGCGGTTGGCGATGGTTTCTTGGCGGATGCGCGCGGCGATCTCGCCCAGCGGGGTGTAGGGGTTGGTGAGCTCGTGAATTAGCATGTTGGTCATGCTGCAGAAAACCACGTTGCCCGCATAGTCGGCGGGGACTGAGAGGGGCCTGCGACCATCGATGGCGACCGAGACGTACGAGTTGTCTCGGTACGGTGCATTTGGCCGGCCGGCGGGAAAGCGGGCTTTGGAGACGGTCCGCCAGATCCAGGCCACTAGGGCATCGTTGGTTGAGATAGGGGAAAGAGAGGAGGAGGATACAGCGGAGGCTGTTCTCTTGAGGGTTGCCTGAGCTGCAGCGGAGAGGGAGAAGATGCGTGTCTCCGCGCCAGTCGAGGCCTATCAGCTTCCACAACTCCGGCCTCTGTTTCAACGTCGGGTACTGCTTGGCCGCCTGGCTATGTGAGACTTGAAATGCAGGAGGTAGCGAGGTTTGAGGCTGAGACGGCGCGTGAGGGAACGCCGCAGGCTGCGCCGGGAGGCCCTGGACTTGTCGACAGTGTTGGGCCCATTTCTCGAAGATCAGGTAAACTCCGTAGGCATCGGCGAATTGATGGGAGAACCCAACCGAGAGAAGACAGCCGCCGGGGATGAAGCTGGCTTGCGCTGCCATGACGCGCTGGGTCGTAGCGACGCCGGCAAGGGGGGCCAGCAGTTGACCATCGAGCTTGCAAGTCGGGAACCCTTGAGCTTGAAGCTGGGCATAGCTATACGGGAAAGGACTGTCAGAGCCGGTGAAGTCGCGAATGGTCAGAGGCGAGCCATGCCCCTCCAAGGGCCGAATGGTGGGTTGTGTTCGTGGTGGGGAGTCCGCTGGGGGAGCGACGATCTCCCCCGCCAAATCAGGCCATTCTTCAAGGACCAGGGCCAGCGAGCGTTGCAAGACCGAGACCAGAGAATCGCGGCCGTCGTCGGAACAAGACCAGCCCACGATCAGTGCGTTGAAGATCGGGGGCATGATCGCGTCAGGGGGCTGATTTGATGCATGTTTTCGTTGACCTCGTGGTTCGGGACCGTTGAACTCAAACGCTGGATGGATTGTGAGAATAAATGGGTGGAAGTCTCTTCCACTTGGTGCAAGACCTTCATACATACTTAGACACCCATCGCCGTCGCCGAGGAGCGCGGAGTTCTCGCGGACTGCTCTCACCAGAGTCTCTCGGGCTGACCGCATTAGGAAAGTTCCGAATTCACCTGGCGTCGATGAGATTAAAAAAAGGGCCATGGTTAGTTTTAGAGTAATTGGATCAAGAAAGAAGTTCACCTTATTCCATTTAGATTAACATCATGCCGTCCGCGATTGAAACCACTGCCATCTCGACTCAGCTGTTGCTGAAGGGAGACAAAAGCCATTCGCATTCGGCCTGGAAGGCCCTGATACATCCCCGTGCCGATGAGACTTGCCATGAAAATGATGACTATTTCCTGCAACACTGGCCATTTTCTTCCGAGAAGAGCCGAGAAACCTTTGTCAATGCCGGCTTCGGTCGAGTCACTAGCCTCTACTTCCCGCTGCCGCGCGATGACCGTATTATCTTTGCGTGCAAGCTGTTAACAATCCTGTTCCTCATTGATGGTGTGTAGAATGCGCCCTTCCCTATCTGTTAGACTGTGTTAAAGCCATGAGGAAGATATCCTGGAAGATATGTCCTTGGAGGACGGAGAGGCGTACAATGCCCATCTGATGCCCCTCATGCGGGGAGATGTGCTCCCGAACCGTAAGGGCTCTCTTGCTATGATTTTCGTGAAGTACGCCAGAACAGAAACTGACTGCGGTATGAGAGAGACAGGCAATATCCCCGTCGAGTTTATGATGTACGACCTTTGGGAGGAGATGCGCGCTGCGAGCCCGATCCTGGCGGACGGGATTCTCGAGCCCACCTTCACCTTCATGCGCGCGCAGACGGACAAGACCCGTATTTCGATCAAGGAGCTGGGTCACTACCTTGTCTACCGGGAGCGGGATGTGGGGAAGGCGTGAGTCCAGATCCAGTTAGGTCTTTTGCTTGATGGTTGCTAACTCCAGGCCGTCGTCAGTCTCCTGTCAGCGCTCATGCGATTCACCATGGACCTCGAGCTGACGCCCGAGGAGCAGGCGGCAATGGTGGCACTCGAGCGCAACTGTTCGAAGCAGATCTCGGTGGTGAATGATATCTGGAGCTGGGAGAAAGAAGTGCGCGCGTCGCAGACCGGCCATAAGGATCGGCCCTCTGCTCGGGTGTCAAGGTGCTGGCTGAAGCAACTAATCTAGACATCGCGGCGACGAAGCGGCTGCTTCAGGCCATGGTCAAAGAGTGGAATCAGGTTCACGATCGGCTCACGGCGGAACAAGTCGCGGTGGGATGTCGGCCGGCCGTCAAGCTCTATATGAAGGGGCTGGAATACCAGATGAGCGGCAATGAGATGTGGAGTCGGACGACCCTGCGCTATGTTGATAAAGAGGCAACCGGTGTTTAGGGTTTTGTGTTTGGCAATCCGCCTCGAAGTGGGATACTACGTTGTTTGGAAGCAGTGGATGGCCAAGGTCGAGGTCTCCCCATTTGCAAGACCTTCAATGATTCAATATTACGATCCTATACTTTGTTGAGATATCCCTGATGACTCTCCATGTACGGAGTAGTATTTCCCCCATAACCTTATTCCTTCGGTAGACCGTATTAGGTTACGAGCTGCATTGGTAGCGGCCTTCGGCCGCTGGTCCGGTGGCACGTCGAGCAGGATTGAATGGAGTTCATTGGAAGAGAGGTAGTTAGTGTAGAGAAATTAGAGCAAAATACCAAATCTACGAAGCAGGTGGCTCAACCTGGCCGAATCCCGACTGTGGAGTGAGATCAACTGTTGCCAAGCTTGCAGCATCTAATACCAATGGACCTTCAAACCCTCTCTTATACTCATCTCATCATGAATCTCACTTCAGACAGGCAGGAGCAGATCATGGTATACCACATTCAGTGTCGAGTGAGCAGTCTCATCAGGGTCCCGCAGGACGCAGATTTCCGCTGCCGCAGGATAGACGTTTCTTTGTTCTCCTTGACTCCGGAACTTTCCCTTCTGAGCGACAGGGGGCAAGGAAAACAAAGAAACGAAAATTCCTTCTTTTGAAACTACCCCTTTCCCTTCTCTTCTCCCGTGCATCTTCTCCTCCCTCTTTCTCTTTTTCTTCTCGTCAATCATCTCACAATGCCCCGTTGCGCTCTCGTCACCGGCTGCAGCGCCGGAGGCATCGGCTCGGCCCTGGTGGAGGAGCTCCACGCCCAAGGGCTGAGAGTGTACGCGACCGCCCGCTCCCCAGCCAAGATGGACCACCTTGCCAAACTTCCCAATGTCACTCTCGTCACCCTCGACGTCGCCGACCCGGCCAGCATTGCCGCTGCCGTCGATACCGTCCGCCAGGATTTGTCCTCGCACGGTGACTCCCTCGACGTTCTCATCAACAATGCCGGCCAATCCCTCGTCTCTCCCGCCCTGGATACCTCCATCGACAAGGCCAAGAGTCTTTTCGATGTGAATTTCTGGGGTGTCATCGCCGTCACCCAGGCTTTCACGCCGCTGCTTCAGGCTGCCCAGAATGGCAGTACGCTCGTGAACGTCTGCTCCATCTCGGGCTTCTTGTACGCCCCTTGGATGAGTGAATAACCTCCACCCCGGCGGTCGCGATAAAAATATATCACGAGTGACCCGCTGACCATTCGCATCAGGTGCCTACAACGCCTCAAAGGCCGCTCTGATGTCTTGGAGCGAGACTCTCCGGTTGGAATTGCAGCCTTTCAACATCCGGGTTATTTCCCTGGTCACCGGCTCGGTTGCCACAAATGTCATGTCGCATTCTGAACTGACCCTGCCTGAAAACTCACTTTACCAGAAGGCGCTCTCGGAGATTCAATTGCGCGGCGTCGGGAAGGATGTCTCGAATAAGAGCGCGCCGGCAGCCTTTGCTCGCGAGGTTGTCAAGGATGTCTTGGGCGGAGCGACGGGACCTGTGTGGCGTGGCGCGATGGCTTCCATGGTGAAGTTTATGTCCAAGTACATGCCGACATCCGTTTTAGTGAGTGTCCCTGTGTTCTTTGATTTGATATTTCTCTTTGACCTAAATTGATTACTGATATGTGTCGTGTAGGACCGGGCAATGAAGGGGGGGACTGGGCTGGACAAGTTGCCGTGAAAGAACATTGCACAGATATATCGTAGAACAACGACTAGGTCCGTCCATAATATATTTTCTCACCTCTCGTTGCTTATCCTACCTAGGGAATTATCTATTCACTTTTACACGTTCCCACTCACTTCGCCCGTGGAAGCACCTGCGTGATGAGCTTGGGCTTAACCCACAGGAGATGCATGGCCACGTCCCTGTGCCATTCCACCTCATCGTCCATCAGCTTCAGATCGTATCGGTAATAAAGCTTTGCCAGGGTCAACCGTAGTTCCAACCAGGCCAATCTGTCCAATAATTGTCAATTATACGCCACTAATCTCCATGGAAGAACTTGGGGGGAGAAAGGAGAGCTCACCCAATGCCAGCGGGGGAAAGATACGCAATGCCTCCAGACATACCGCGTGCAAGTACTTGAGCGAGGAGGTGAATTGTCCATTGATCTCCTTGTAGCTTCCGAAGGCGGATCGAACCTCCTTCTGCAATGCCTTGAGAATGCGGGGATTACGACCGACGTAGTAAATGACGGTTGCCAGACATGTGGCTGTTGTTTCACTCCCCGCAATGCTATGGTGGTCAGTTTTTAGCGTCGCTTTGACTGGCAAGGAAATGGAAGCAGTTGATCGGTACGTACACAAAGTCCGAGGCGTGAGCGGCCAACTGAATGTCTGATATCTGGGATGCGTCGCGCTCTACCAACAGGTAGCTCATGAAGTCTCTCTGGTTGATCTTCTGCTGGATTCGACTAGACGATGGAGAATGAGTATCCCAGTATTAATGAATGTCGGATGAGGCAGAGTACCGTTTGACCAAGTCGATCGTATATGTTTGGTGTTTGATCGCGCCATCCATGAGCTCCTTTAACCAGCGTGGATTGAGCTTACCTATTAGCGCCTTCTAGTCGACCTTTAAGATTACGAAACTCGATAACGGTATAAAGGATATTACGTTTATTTTAAAGGTCTTTTAGGTAGAAAAGTTCGATATCGCGATAGTAGACCGAGTCCGGAAGATCTTTTAAGGAAATATACTTTAGAAGATTACTCTAGAAGGTATTATCCCGTTTACGGGACTAGAGCTAGACTATAGTAAACTAAATAATTATATTCCTATAACGAAAGAATCTCGAATAGACCTAGTGATACTAGTAAATTATACTAAAAGTATCTATATCTAGAGTATTTTTATCTTTTATTTATTAGGGAATTTTACGCTCGGCTAGGAATATACCTATAAGAAACTTTCTAGGGTAAGTATACTCTATTTAGGAATAGATAGGATATAACTTACTCGTTATATCTATTAACGGGTATCCTTACCGACGCGGCGACGGGCGAATAGCTCGAAGTATTAATAAAGGTGTCGCTAGACTGCGACATCGCCCGTCCACGGTGGGCGGTGGGCTATTTGGATTTTCGAGTGCCCGTCTATAACGCCTAAGGTCCACGGGTATGCCTATCCCGGGTATGCCTACTATGCCTACTATTGTATAAAGTCACCTAAAATAGACGTATAACTCGCTGACTTTGTATAATAAATAACCGTTATTTATACCTATTTTGCTAACTCTATATAAAATCGCGGTTTTAATCTATAATATCTATAAATTTTACTAAAATATCTAAGTATATAAGAAACTAATATATATATGATACGACTTAGAATAAATTTTTAATCGAAATATATTATATTATATAGTATTTTTATTAACTTATTAAATTATACTATAATAGTTTAAAGATATATATTTAAGTTAGTAGTATATACCTACTATTTTCTATAAGTAAAATACTACTTATAGATTCTACTTTATCTCTCGCTCTAGTATATTTCTTATAGGTAGATCGAAAGTAAATTAGTATAATTCCTATTTTATAAGCTTATATTACTAAATTATATCAATTATATTACTAAAAGACTTATATTATTATTCTAGGAGTTTTAAATCCTTCGATTATAACTTAAGATAGGCGTTTAGGTATATATCTATAGATATACCCGTAGGTATACCTATAGATAAAGATATTTATAGCTAATTAGCTTATAATAGATAGTAGGTCTATACTTAATTTACGATCTATTAGATCTATATAAAGTACCCCTTTTACTAGTAACCCCTATCTTATACGGTTATAAGTTACCTATTATAAGTTTAGATTACTTACTCTCCCTTTATCGTTAAATTATCCCTTATATCGTATTAACTATATCCTAACCTAGTACCTATACTATAGGGCCTTCTTTACTTCCTCCGAGCTCCTAACTAGACCTCTCCTATATCGCTAATATATTTAATCCTAACCTTAATCTAAATATTAATCCTAGTCTCTTTAATAGCTAATAGACTTCTATATTAGTAATAGAGTCTAAGTTTACTTAATTAGCTATTCTTAATTACTCTTTTAAACGCGTTAGCCCTAATCGGAGAAAGTAGTTTATCCTTTATAACGCGATAAATAACGCGTCTAAAGTAAAGTTTATCGAGTAATAGCGTACTATAGTATATAGTAGCGGTACTAAGATATAAAAAAGGCTACGATAGGATATAAAATATATATTAGATATCTAGGAGAACTTCGATTAGATAGTATATTATATTATAGGCGAACCTTTAGTTATATATCGGACGTATAGGGCTATATTACCTTATCTAAGTACGAAGTAAAGCGGTACTAATATACTTAAGCGGTATATAACCTTAGGTAAATACTAAAAGGATAGTAAAAGTAAGTCTATATAATAGTCGATTAAGGATACTATATAGTATATACTAATAAGTCCTATATAATTATATCTTTTAAGATAACTAATATATTATATATTAGGTACTAGAGTTATCTTATAAGTCAAAATTCTCGAATAATAAATAGGAAAGAGAGTAAATTAAATATCTTACTAGTCTAAACCTCCCTTTCCGGATACTTAAGAGGAAGTAATTTACTTCTTTAATTCGAATAGTATAAAAGGCTCTAGCTAAACCTACTTTACTCTATCCTTATACTACTTAATACCGGCTTAAGAAATTAGTCGATAAGGAGTAGTATATAATTCTCGCTACCTTACTATAAGATATAAAACTCTTAATCGCCCTCGATTACTAGATATCGCCTTTTTAGTAGGTATTTATAGCGATTATAGGGTACTTTATTAACCGAGACTAGAATTACCGTAAGCTCCTACTTAGTTTCGAACTACTTAATAGGGCGTATTCTAGTATAAATCTAAGTAAAGTACTTATAGAGATCTTTAAGAAGCTTAATATTACTAATCGTATATTAGCGATTATATTAGATAACGTATCGAATAATATAACTTTAGTATAGGTAGTTTAAGACTCTATTAACTCCCTTAAACTATCGAATAGCCTAGTAGTTATTCGAATCTCTTATCTTATATATATTATCTAGCTAAGCCTTTATAAGCTACTTAGATTAGTAAAGGCCGATCCCTAGAACGATACTATAAATCGGAATATTTCTAATATCTAAGCCTAAGCCTAAGCTCGATCGCTCCGTACTTTATAGAGTAAATAAGTTATTATATAAACCCTTATTAAAATAAGTATATCACTTTATTTATTACTTAATATATCTAATAAATATCTAGATTTAAGGGCTTACTATATTTATTAATATAAGCCCCTAACGTCGCGATAATTTCTTCTATCTCTAGACTAATAAAGTAAAACTTACGCCTATCTAAGATATCTATATATACTAGAATTCTACCTTCTTAATACTTTATCGTACGAAACGCCTTAGTAAGCCCTATAATAAATACTATAATAATATTAGGACTTAGAAATATAAACTTAGTAAGATAGAATAGCGGTAGGTCGACTATCTTCTATATATTATAGAGCTATTCTACCGCTTTACTATAGTACTTTTAAAGACTAAAGAGATAATAATATATTATATTTTTAGTATTTATAACGCCCTCTTCGAGTACTTCGAGGAATCGATTATATAACTTACTCCGAAAACTATATCTTAGAAGAAGGCGATACTATAAGCCCTTAATATTAGGATAGTAAAGCTTACCTCTTACTATATAAAGACGAAAGAGATCTATAATAGTCTCTACGTAATTAGAATAATTCTTATACCCTAGTATAAGCTTTACTTCTTCTTAAGTAAGACGTAAGGTACGTTAGAGAACGATATAAACTAGAGTAATTAGTATAAGGAAACGCTTCGCTAGTTTATAGCTCCTTACGCCTAAAGATATACCTAGATATAATCCCTATAAAAAGAGTAACCCCCTAAGCGTTACTTAGCTAGTATAAATAATCTAGACGCCCTCCTCGACCTTCTATCTTATATCTACTCTAATTTATTAATATTAGAGTATAAACTTACTAGATACCTTAAAAAATATATATTATATTTACTATTATTATAAGCGGGAATACTAATACCTATAATAATAAAGAGAAAGGTCGATCCTTTATAATTCTAGAAGGAATATAAGAATAAATTCCCGATTCTTTTAAGTATTACTCGCGATATCCTCTCTATTCCTATAATAGGCGTTAGAGTTAAACGTTTTTTTAATTTAGTATAGGATATCTACTACTACCGACGTAGGCGGCTAAGTACAAAGATAGTCTAGGATATTATAATATTCTAGTATAAAACCTAGTTCGATATTAAAATTAAAGAACTACCTAATAAGGATATATACTTAGATTTTATATAAGAAATAGACGAATAGAGAGAGGCTAAGCTTACTACTAATATACCTAAACTAATTAGCGATAGTAAGGATTCCGAGGATAATAATCCTATTAGGCTAATCGAGTATAAGTTTATAATAGAGAGTTAGCTTTCTCGTCCTTCTATAGTACTAAGTACGCGGAAGCGATAGCGAAGTAAACTAGTCGATAGCGAAGATAAGAGTAGTCTATATCTCCCTTCTTATAGAGATAAGGGTAGTACTTAAAGGCGCCGTAGTTTAAGAGAAGTAAGGAAGCGTAGTAAACCTAATAATAATCAATTTATATTATATTAGTATAAATATATAACTATAATAAACGCCTAAGTTATTATATAAAGGCTTCTAAACCTTATTTCTAACCCTAGTTAAAAAAGTGATAGTATATTAAGTTATATAAAGGCTTCTAAACCTTATTTCTAACCCCGGTTAAAAAAGTGATAGTATATTAAGTTATTATATATAGGCTTCTAAAGCTTATTTCTAACCTCGGTTAGAAAATTGACTATAGTATCAAGTTATTATACAAAGGCTTCTATAGCTCATTTTTCTAACCGAGGTTAGAAAATTGATAGTAGTATCAAGTCATTATATATATAATCAAATTACTTAAAAATATAGAGAAAAAATATACAAATAATATAAGTCACGAAGTCAAGAAATTCTACTTACTAAAAAAGCCTATAGGCGCCCACGACGCCTAAGGCCCGTAGGCCCTAAGGGTAGGGCCCGTCTATAGGCCTCTCTATAGGGCCTATTTCCCGCTTATATAAGGCCTATAGGCAATGCCTACCCGCCCGTCTATAGGCGATGTCGTAGTCTAGGTGTCGCTAGTATTTATTATACGACTAAAGTAGTTTCTTTCGTGATATTTTGAATATCTAATTAAAAAAGTTTATATAGATTATCTAATCCTTTAAAAGAAGAAAGTCTATATAATCCTCGTTCGATTAAATATAAAATCTATTCTCGTATTATTCTTAGTTATAAGACTTTTCCTAACTAAGTAGGTACTTACTTTCGCTAATAACGTTTAACGATAGCGATACCTTCTAAGGTCTTTAGCTTAAAGTTTAGAGGAAGCTATCTAAGACTACGAAAATATTCTAGTCTAGCTCGAGTTTCCTCGTAAAGAA